CAGCAGGCGCCTCCACAGGCCTCCTGTGTGACCTTAGGCACACTGCCAGAGCTCTTGGGGAGGGGGGAATCACCCCTGTGAAGCACCTGGCATGGGAAAGTTTTCCCTGGCTGTCCCGTCCTCTGCTCTGTGGCACTGGGGGCCCGGCCTTCTCTGGGTCTGTGTGTCACCCTCCCAGAGAACCAGATTCTGTGGCACCTGCCCCTTTTTGGTGGGGGTACTCCTTTGCATGCATGGGGTTACCGTGCTGCCCTCCTGGTTGCTGTGAGGCCAAAGAGGGGAAGGGGAACCCTTCCCATGTGAAAAGGACGGGTCTATGATATTCAGCTGCCATCTGTAAGCCAGAGGGTGGGTGTGCACACCACCGTTGTTGCCTCCTTCGCCTCCTGGGGCCCACAGCATCCTGGGCGCAATAGGCAGGGGTGGGTGCGGCTTCCTTCACTGCTTGGATGCTGCCAAGCTTTGCTACCTCAGGGTGCCCCCCACCCCAAGGTTGCCAAGGCCCATGGGCGAGGTTCCTGATCAGACCTCCCCAGGACCTTCCTGCCCATCTCTTCCTCTAGCTTTGGGCTGCCTCTGGCCTGGAGGCTGCCATGGGGATGCAGACACTCCACGAGGGCCCAGGCTTACATGCCTGGTGGAGGTGGGGACCAGAGGGGCGGGGATGTCACTGAGAAAGCCAGGCACACTATTGCCTGGGACTCCACCCTCCTTTACACATTTTACCAGCTCTGGTGTCCTTCCAGGGTGAATTCCCCATGACGAGGAAAGAAACCACCAAATATGGATGAACCCCAGCCCCAGCTGGCATGGTGGGGCCTACAGAGGCCTGTCCCTATATTTTTCCTGCTTTGCCAGCCTCGGAACCGTGGGTAGTGGAGAACAGTGTTGTCTTAGTGCCCCGAGTGGCCAGGCAAGCAGGCGTGCGATGGCAAGAGCAGAACGCTGTTTGCCCCTGTTAGTGGTTCCAGCCTCTTGCCCGCCCTGTGCCTAGCCTGTGGGACAGTGCCTGGGACCACAGTGGCTGTATCCAGAGCTCACTCGGGGAGCCCTGCAAGTCAGCAGGAGGGAGAAGGTGGCCCAACAAGTAGGATGTCAGGGAGGATTTCACCAGGGCCTGGGTGGGGGCATGCTGGGAGAAGGGCCCTGCACCCATGAGACCTGCCTAGGTGAAGGAGGTTGCAGGGGTAGTGGGACATGGAGCTGAGAAGGGGTGGGGCAGTGGACAGCGGGCCTGGCTTGAGTGGGGGGGCGAGGGATTGGAGAGAAAGGCAGTTCCTGATGGTCCCCTCCCCAGGGGCTGGCTTTCCTCTGGTCCTTCCCTCCCAATGACCACGTCTTCATCGAGGCCGCAGCCCTGGGCTTTGTGCCCACACCTCTGGCGCCAGGCTGCTTGGAGATCCATCAGTGGCCTTCCCTCCAACCACAGAGCCCTTCCTGCTGCCACTGTCTGGAGGGCTGGGCTGCAACCCACATGGGCTGGCTAGGATGGTGAGGTCCCACAGCCAAGTTGGAGGGCTCTACCTCTGGCTTGTGAGCATCAGTAGCCAGAGCTGCTCCCAGTGGATGGCCTTGTCCAGCAGCTAGGCACACAGCCCAGAGAGGTGCACAGCAGGCCAAGGCCTACATCATGGCCTCTTCTGATAACCCGGAGCTGCATGTTCCTGGTGGGACAGCATGTCCCTGGTGGAGTAAGCCTCAGAACCATCCTCTGTCCTGGTGGGGCTCGGAGTGGGTGGGATTTCAGAAGTGATGGCTTGGCAGGGCTCCTCCCACTGACCCCGGTTGGCTTGGTTGCCATAGGCCATGCCAGTTGACCTCTCCTGCAGTGAGTGTTCTCCTTTGTGGGAGTGAGAAGGCCTGTGTCTTCTGTGGTGGACAATGGCCAAGTGGTAGGTGACCACCTGCTGCCCCTGGTGGGTGGGGCACTTAGGACCCCAGGAGACCCCATGTGCTTCCTACCTCCCTGGATCACGTTCTGGACGATTTGACCTGTCTCATCAGCCGTGTCTAATCTGCTCATCGTAAATCCACTGCTGAGTTTTAATCTGTGGTTCCCAGAGCTTCTGGTTCTAAAAGTCCTTTCCGGTGCTTTGCGGACCTCCTGGTTTCTTCTTTCTCTGGTCCTTTTCCTGCAGATGTTCTCCAGCTTCATTTTTCTGCAGTCAGAGCCTGGTGGGTTTGTGAGATGTGTGGGGGATCACTTTCCGCTGCTCCTTGCTTATGGCGCTGGGTTTTGTTATGTGGTGTTCTTTCTGATTGTCCTGCTCTTTGTCCTGGAAATGATTGGTGGGATTTCTCAGAAGTCTAGCATGAAGATGAGAACTTCGGTTCTCCAGGTGCTGAGGAGCACTGTCAATTTGAGTCTTGGCATGAGGATCCCTGGACCCCCAGTGTGGCCCTGGCTGTGCTCTTGTGACTTCTCAGAGCTTCTTCCCCGCTTTGTGTGCTGTCCCTGTGGCACCTGGGGGTGGTTGAGGATAGAGCTCATCCTCCCCTTAGGAGTGGTGCCTTTCAGGGTCCCAGCTCCACTCAGGGGAGGGTTTCCTACTACAGTCCCATCTTGGGGCAGCCCTGGGCCTTATCTTCAGTCTCCCTCACCTTCATGGCCACCAGAGCCCAGTTTGCCCACATAGGCCAGTGCCCCAGGGAATAGCCAGCGTACTCTGCTCTCTTTTTTTCTCTGGGTTCCCACGTTCTCTGAGATACTGGCCAAATCCTGCATGACCTTGTTAGTTCTTGGGTGCTTTTAAGATCTTTTCATATTCTTTCAAGCATTTTGAGTTGTTTTTACTAGAAGGGTCAGTTCCAGCAGCCTGCCCACCAGTCTTGATATCATCAGGTAAGCCTAGGATGCTGGCCCTAGTGGGCACTACCCCGGCAGCCAAGGGTGGGAACCCAACGTGCTGCTGTCACCTCGGGGACCTCTTCTGCATCAGGCACTGCTTTCAGCTCCATCTCCTGGCACCCTGCATTTCTGCAGTTGCACTGGTCACCATGGTGATGTCACCTGCACAGCCGAGGGTTCTACCAAGGACAGGGATGGGTCCCCTGAGGCATCACTGATGCTCATGCCTGCAGGGGCTGGGGCAGGGGGGGACAGGGGACAGAGTCGTGGGGATCCCTCCAGGGCCTGTGGGAGCCAGTGGCGACAGTAGTGGCGTGGATCCCTCCTCCCTGACCCCCTCCCTCTACTTCCTAGGCCAGCCAGACCAGTGAGTAGAAAGGAGTGGAGAGGCAGGGACAGCGTGGTGTCAGCCACAGGAAGACCTCCATGTGGCCCCGAGCTGTGGTCGTGTCCACAGTGCCAGCCTTGGGCTTTGGCCCCTCCTTGGCTTTTCCATGCTCTGTGGCCAGATCCCCTGCCACCTGTCCACCCACCCGCCCACACTTGGGTGATGGTATAGCTTAGAGGGCAGTGTTGGCATGGTAGGAATGTCCTCCTCCTGTGAGTCCCCAAACAGAAAATGTTTCACTTCAGAGACCCAAGAACTGGGAGCAGTTGTGCGGGTCTAGAGGGGGGCCCTCACCTCTCCTCTGTTCCCCTGCCCCATTCCATGGCCGGGGTCTGCCTCTCTTGGGACTGTATGTGTATGGGTGGTGGGGACCCTGGCTTGGGGCACTGAACTAGAGCCCCTCTTGCTCACTCCTCCTCCTCCTCCCATGCCTGAAGGGATCACTATGCCGGTGGCCCTCACAACAGGCTGGTCCCCCGCCATGGCTTTAGGAATGGCACAGTTTTTGTGGTTTATGTTGAAACCTGGAGCAAGGATGGGCAGGGTCTGGGCATCACATCCCACCTTCTCCCAGCTGGGACCCAATTCACAGACCCTCTTTACAGATGCGGACCCCAAACCCTCTTCTACTAGGCACTATGTGCTTACTCTTTTGGGGTGGGGGATAGGCAGGGTACCACATGGACCCTCCCCAGTCCCAGGGGCCCCAGGCTAGCTCACTGGGAGCTCAGTGGCCTCCTTCAGGCACATGCACACACACAATCACATGCCCGCATGTAGGCATAGGCGGGAACACACACACGCAGATACCCACACGTGGCTGTACACTTGCACATGCACGCAGACCTCAACGCCTCACATGCACACACATCTGCTGAACACTCCCTCACCTCCCCCTTGCTCATGAGGCTCTTCTTGGGGTATCTTTTTTGGCTCCCTTCAATACCTCCGCAGCCTCTGTGTCATCCATTCCCTGGCCCTGGCCTTTGGCTCCGCCCTGCCGCTGTGCCCCAGCTTAGGCACACATACAGGACCAGAGCCCCTCACAGCCACCTTGTCCAGGGTCAGTGGCCTCAGGAGCTCATCTCCGTCCTCAGCTGGTTGGGGGTAAATATCTGGTGGGCCTAGAGGCCGCCAGGCCCGGGGCCTGCATGTTACAAGGGTAGGCACTTTGTCCTCGCTCCTTGGGACCTGGCTGCCTGTCTACTTCACCAGCACCTGTGTTTTGCCCCTGGGGCCCTCCTGCTTACATGGGTCCCCAGGCAGCATCTGTGCTGTCATGGGTGGATGGCATGGGCTGGCATCCCCAGGCCGGTCAGATGGGATGCAGCCCTTCCTTGGGGGCTGGGGCCTGGAATAGGTGCCATTGCCAGGGGATGGGATAGTTTGGTCTAGGTGGAGGGGATGGAACAAACCACAGGGCCACCCAGGTGTGGTGGGGAAGGGTGCCCACCGGATTCCCCAGCTGTGCCTATGGGTCTCATTCTTGCTCATGTGGCCAGCTTCCACGTGGTGTGGCCAGGGCCAGTGAACCTTGTAGGCAGTGGGGACAGTCTGGCCCGTGCTGATGTGTGTGCACACTTAGGGAGATGGTTGGCTGGTGCTGATGAGCATCATGGTGTCTAGCATATTCTGCCGTGCCCCATAAGGGTCAGGGGCATCCCGGAGGCAGGTCGTTCTGGGCCAGGGAGCACTGCAGGTGCAGGAAGGCAGTGTTGTGTTGTCTGCTGTTTATTCAACGCATTTTTTTTCCTTTTCCCGCAGACTGGTGATCCTTTGTGAGCAAAGCCACTCTCAGGGACCCATGTGCATCATCTTCTTTAAGTTCGATCCTCGCCCTGTCTCTAAAAATGCATACAGGTAACCCCCTTGCTCTGTGTCTGCAGTCCTCCACTTGGCCTCAGGGTCCCCACTGTCCTCCTAGTGCCCAGGTGGGGACAGGCTGTACAGGCTGGGTTACTCAGTATGGGGTGTGGCAGTGAGTACCGCTCGGTGGCAGGAATGCTGAACTGACATAAAGAGACTTAGCTGCTTAAGGTCGCTGTGTGGGCAGCACAGAGAAGCCACGTGCGGCCAGCCAGGGGTGCACCCCTGTGGTCTCGACAGGGGCACCAGGCGTGGCAGAACTGGTTTGATGAGCAAAAGCCCCATGTGGACTGGCTAGTTTGTGTTGCCAGTGGAAAATCTGGGTGGTGGTGGCAACAGAGGGTCTGTGGGTCCTGAGCTGGGGAATGAGGGTAGGAGTGGGGAAGCTGGGAGACCAGCAGAGGAGGTGGGAAACTGAGGCCAGAAAGGGGTAAGACATGGTCTAACGCACCCCCCACTGCTCCCCATGACCCTGGGCTCTGGATGTGCCCCTCTGTTCCCTGGGGCAACCTAGTGGGAATTCATCTACGTTTTTCCAGGTATGAGACTGAGAGGTAACCCAAAACCAAAAATGACATTTAAAAAACCAAATAAACATTTTATTTATTTATTTATTTATTTGAGAGAGCGAGAGAGAGTGAGAGAGTGAGTGCACAAGTAGGGGGAGCAGCAGGCAGCAGCAGGCTCCCCACTGAGCAGGGAGCCCGATGCAGGGCTCGATCCCAGCCATGCAGGTGCCCCTGAAATGATATTTTAAACTGATCACTAGTGCAATTGCTTCGAAAGTTTTCATCATTTTAAAATCTATACCAAAGGGACGCCTGGGTGGCTCAGTTGGTTGGGTGTCTGCCTTCGGCTTGGGTCATGATCCCAGGGTCCTGGGATCCAGTTCTACATGGGGCTCCTTGCTTGGTGGGGAGCCTGCTTCTCCCTCTGCCTGCCTCTCGCCCTGCTTGTGCTCACTGTCTCTCGGACAAATAAGTAAATAAAATTAAAAAACAAATAAATACATTTAAAATTTATAACAGAAATGATTTAAATCATCTTGACTAGCTTTTTAGATTTGAGTCACCGTGCAAAATTGCACAGACACCATGTTGCCTAATTTCGTGCTGAATGAAAGTCATTCCAGGCCAGGGGCTGGGGACTGAAGAGTCCCCAGTGTTCCCATCATTCAGAAGAGTGGCCAGCAGGGCCAGGCCAGGATCCTGGAGCTGACCCTGAACGGTCGACCCCCAGCAGAATGAGCTCTGAGTCAGGGTGCAGCCAGTGGGCAGAATCCAGGTGCAGTGATTTATTTGAGCTGGGGAAGCGTAACATCCAGAATTATTAACCATACTAGGATTGGAATGCCCTGGGCAGAGCCCCATCTTCCACCCTCAGGCTGAGAGCCAGACTTTGCCGGAGAGGTTCAGCCGTGGTGCATTGACTAGGAAAGAAATCGCTGGGGTGCCATAGCAGCAGAACTTGCTAGGAGTCTACTCTCCAGTGTGCTAGCAACTGTCGCAGGAGGATACTGGGCAAAGGTGCTGGCCACACTGGGTGCTTGGGGGAAGCCCCATGTGTATTGGGATTCATCCCCGGGGAGCTGGAGAAGGGGCCTGAGGAAGCACCTTGCAGCCAGGCCAAGAAGCCTCTCCCTCAGGGGTGTCTCTCCAGCGCCCTCTACTGACAAAACTTAATAAGGTATCAGTCGCAAAGATCAGCTCCTTTATTATGAGGAGGCAACGAGAGGCAAATTTGAGGTTGAGTCATAAGGACTGGATCCGGGACACGGTCGACCCCTTTGGCTACTGAGGTTTTATGTGCTCCCTTCTGTGCTCACGTGAACCCTTACATACCAACAAAATGACTCCGTTTCATCTGAGAAGTGAAGGATTTCTCGCATGGGGACACGCAGTCTGACAATTCCTGGGTCTGTTGCTGGCTGTATTTACAACCACATTCAGCCACAGCCTCCCTGGATGTGGTGTTTCCCGAAGTTACCACCAGTCTCTGTCAGTAAAATAAACACGGGAAAAGGAGGAAAGAGGTCTCTCTTGCTTTTGCTCAGGATCTGTGTGTCACTGCCATGACCTCTCCACGACTCCTTATGGATTGTGATTCGAGACTGCCTTGGCCTTTCTCTCCAGTGTATTCCAAAGCCCCGAGGCAGAAACTACATTTGCCACCTCTGGTGACTGACCGAATCCACTTGTTTACCCTCTTGCGTGGGAAGGCAAGAGGGGCTTCGGGTTGGAGCGCCTGCTCTAGCTGTGGGGCTCTCTGGCCCTTGAGAATGGGTGGGCCGCAGGCCCTTGGTGTCCATGGTTCTGTATGTGCGTGATAGAGAAAAGGATGGGGGAGCAAGGGCAGAACGCCTCGGGAGGGACACTGCAGCAGATCCAGTGAGGAGAGGCCAAGCCTGGCCCTGTCCGAGGTTGGAGAGAGGTTCCTGGTGCCTGGAGTGGGATGGGGAGCAGGCCAGGCTCCAGGGCCATCAGTGTGGTAGGGAGGAGGCCCTGGATGGGGCCAGCAGGACCTGCCCCAGCACCCCTCTTGCTTTAGCCATCCCTGTCCTGGCCTGGGGTGCACCAGCTTCTGTCCCCTACATTGGCATCCACTGCTGTGTCTTCCTCTCCCCGCCCCCCACCCCCCAATAACTGGCAGGAATAGGAGTGTGTGCCATTCTAAACACGGACAAATGTCCAGTTCAGTGGCATTAAGTACATTCACATTGTTGTGCAACCTTCTGTGCCATCCATCCATCTATCTCCAGAACCCTTCATTGTCCCCAACTGAAGCTCTGTCACCACCAAACACCGACTCCCCATTTCCCTCCCCCCACCCCTGGGAACCACCAGTCTCCTTTCTGTTTCCATGACCTTGACTGCTCTGGGGACCTCATATAAGTGGAATCGTAGTATTTTTTGTGTGACTGGCTTCTTTTACTGAGCATAGGGTCCTCATGGTCACGGTGTAGCAGGTGTCCGAATCTCCTTCCTTCTTGAGGCTGAGTAACATCCCACCATATGCAAGACCACAGTTTTATCTGCCTATCTCTTGATGGACACCTGCACTGTTGCCCCTTTTTGGCTATTGTGATTCATGCCACCATGGAGATTCACATAGAGGTGTCCATTTGAGTCCCGCTTTCCTTTCTCTTGGGGACAGATACCCCAAAGCAGAATTGCTGGATCATATGGCAATTCTGTGTTTGACTTTCTGAGGAACTGCCAAATTGATTCCCACGAGTGTCTTTTGATGGCCATGCCACAGGCTTCCCAGGCCATGTCAGCCCATGTCTCTGTTTGGTGGCAAAGTATGTCTTCGCAGTGTATCATCATTGTGCCTTGTACAGACCAACTTCTCCCCCACCAAGCTGGACAAGCCAGGTGCTGGGGCCACCATCCACTTGGACTCTGCTGCCCACCAAGCCAATCCACATGGCTGGGACCGATCAAAGACCCTGTGCTCCGTGCACTCTCTTAGGCACCCTTAATTTCATCACACATGCAGTGGCCTCTCGACACTTGGGGTAATGGGAAGCACCTGGTTTTGTTTGTGGGTTAAGCTCATCCCTGCAGTCACCGTTGCTCCTGGGTCCAATGGTTGTTAAGGGGACTTTTGTAGCTGGGATGGTAGCCATCCTTGTTAAGGGGACTTTTGTAGCTGGGATGGTAGCCATCCTTGCCATGTAAAGTTGGCCTCTGAACAGGGTGGATTTGCACTGTGCCAGTCCACTTACATGCCTATTTTTAATTTATTTTTTATTTTTAAAGATTTTATTGATTTATTTGACAGATAGATTACAAGCAGGCAAAGAGGCAGGCAGACAGAGGAAGGGAAGCAGGCTCCCTGTTGAGTAGTGAGCCTGACGCGGGGATTGATCCCAGGATCCTGGGATCACGACCCTAGCCGAAGGCAGAGGCTTTAACCCACTGAGCCACCCAGGCGCCCCCATGCCGATTTTTTAAAGTCTGATACTATAAATGTATTTTTTTCTTCCTTATGATTCTTTTTTAAGATTTTTAATTTTTTCTGAGTAATTGCTACACCCAACGTGAGGCTCGAACTTACAACCCTTAGATCAAGAGTCAAGGTTTCCACCGACTGAGCCAGCCAGGCCCACCTCTTTGTGATTTTCTTAATAATGTTTTATTTTTCTCTAGCTTACTTTATTGTAAAAATATGGCATGTGATACACATAATGTATAAACTACACATTAATTAATTGTTTACGTTATTGGTAAGGTTTCAGGTGAACAGTAGGCCAGTACCAGTTAAGTTTTAGTGGAGTCAAAAGTTATACATGGATTTGGGGCACCTGGGTGGCTCAGTTGGTTAAGCATCTGCCTTTGGCTCGGGTCCTGATCCCAGGGTCCTGGGATAGAGCCCCGTATTGGGCTCTGCTTAGTGTGGAGCCTGCTTCTCCCTCTCCCTCTGCTGCTCCCCCTGCTTGTGCTCCATCTCTCTCTCACTCTCTCTCCCCCTACCAAATAAATAAATAAGAGCTTTAATTAAAAAAAAAAGTTATACATAGATTTTTGACTGTGCGGAAGGGGTGTTGGTGCCCCAACCCCTGTGATCAGGGGTCAACTGTATATGTAAATAATTTAAACATCTCTCTGCCCTACAGAAAAGAATGAGATAGCCTCACATTTGATGGCATGGGCAGTGTCACCCCTGGCTCTACCCTTGCCGGAGGCTGATCTCACAGGCGTGTATTTTCTGGCTTCCCAGGAGTCAGTCCCTGAAAGATGAGCCTGTCCCTGTCCTCCCCTGCCTGGGCCTGGCCCAGCGATGGTGGCATTTGGTCTGTGGCCTGCCACTTTGAAGGTCTGCTGATGAAAGGCATGGCTCCCAAAGCATCTCTCCTTCTCTTGGGCCTCATTTGATCATCATATCATCTGTTTCCCCACAAGAGAAAGCAGCCTGCTAGAGCACGCGTCCTGTGGTCTGTTCTGCCCAGATTTAGCAGTCCTAGTGTATCATTGAATGACACTCCCTGGGTGCAGGCAGGGAGGGAGGGAGCCAGCTCAGTCCCTGCCCAGGGAGTGAAATGAGCATGGCCACTTGACCATCTCCAGGCCTGATGCTGAGCTCAGCCCTGGTATCATGGATCCCATGGCCTACACCTCCTGTCCCCTATGTTACCATCCCACTGCCCCTCGCTGTTGGGGATACCTGTCCCTCCAGGTGTGGCAGCCGTCCCCATGTCACATCCCACTGACCTGGCATGACTCCCCAGATGCCCTCGGGCCTCCCCGTCTATCTTCTTGGTGCTGAATTGGCCCTGGTAAGGGGGTCTCCTTGGGCGTCACTCCCTATAGGGGTTGCCCCTGCCCAGATGTGGGATTCCCCTGGGTGATCCCAGCTTCTGCCTCCCATGCCCTGGCACTTGGAACCTCCAATTTTTGGCGACGGTTACCCAGTGTGAGTACTGTCTGGGTGCCTAATGTCGGTTCTGTTCGTTTTTAGTTTTGGTACTGATGCCTGCAGCACTGCAGTGAGGAGTGGAGCAGAGGAGAAATTATTTGAGCAGCTTGGGAGGTGCTGACTTAGAAGTTTTCCCTGTTGGCTGCAGCTTTGCCCCGGGGTCCCAATGACCTTGCTCTGTAGAGGCAGCGGTCTTTCCCTGGGATTCCAGTTCTCCCCCTATTTGCAAAGGGATACATGCTTTTTGGAACAAGTCATACCCTACAGGACATACAAAGTAAAATGTGAGCTCCCGTAACTCCTGTGGTAGGCTCCCAAGATTTCTGCCCCCTCTGTACACATCAGTGTCCTCCATTTCCCTGGTTGTGTGTGGGACTGTGGGGCTAAATGCAAAGGGATTTGGCCAATGTGATGAAGGTCCATAATTGGCTGCCTTGGAGGTAGTTAAATGGGAGAAGTCCTGGGTTGGTCTGACGTGATCAGGGGACCCCCAGAGGTGCCAGGCCCCTCCTGAAGAGAAAAGCTGCAGTGTTTGGAGGGGCCCATGGCCAAGAGCTGGGGGTGGCCTCAAGGCGTTGAGAGTGACCCCGGCCAAGGACAGGAATTCTGCAGCAACCTCAGACACACGAGGAAGATGCTGAGCCTCAGCAACACCCTGCCAGTTGGCACCTTAGGGGCCGCTGAGCAGAGCACACGGCACATCCGGCTCGTGCTCCTGACCGCAGACTGAGATGAGAAGTAGGCCCCGCTCTGAGCTGCTGCATGCGCATGCTATGTGTGTGGCCATTTGTGAGGCCCCAAAGAAAACCACTTCCTGTCAGGTAACACCATCGTGGTTGTCGTAGAACCACCATCTTTATCAAAATGTCTGTTTGTCTGTTTGTTTGTTTATTTATTTTTAAGATTTTTATTTATTTATTTGACAGAGAGAGAGAGAGAGAAAGCACACAAGCAGGGGGAGCATCAGGCAGAAGGACAGGGAGAAGCAGGCTCCCCGCTGAGCATGGAGCTGGATGTGGGGCTCAATCCCAGGACCCTGGGATCATGACCTGAGCTGAAGGCAGACACTTAACCAACTGAGCCACCCAGGTGCCCCAGAATGCCTGTTTAGACTCACGATCTGAGTCTCCTTGTTGACTCCAGTCTGGAGGGGCTGCTGGGCGAGCTGTCACATCCTTCTGGTGGCTTCCGTGGGACTCATCACTGCTGGTGACATCATGGGGGGGCACCTGCACCTGGGCACCGGGCACCTGCTACCTGGTGCTAAACTCTCCATGGAGGGTGCACAGATTTGCTCCCTCAGATGGTGCAGAGACCCCCTCCCCAACCCCATAGTCACAGATTTACCCCCCCAGATGTTGTGCAGGCCCATCCCAGATGGTGCACCGACTCACCTTCTAGACAACGCACAGCTCACCCCCTAGATGGTGCATAGACTCCACCATCCTGACTGTGCACAGACTCCTTCCCCCCCAGGTACTGCGCAGACTGTGCACGGCAGGTGGTGCACAACCGCCCCCCCCCCCCGTGGTACACAGACTCTGCCCCACAGGTGGTGCACAGACTCCTCCCCATGGGTGCTGCGCAGGCTCACTCAGGTGGTGCACACCCAGTACCTCGAGACAATGCACAGACCCACCCCCAGTCGCAGGGTGAGGAATCCCCATCAGTGATGAGTCGTTGGTGGTTTCAGTTATTAGAACAAAGCTTTGGGTGACTTGCTGTCCTCAGAGCCCCTGGCTTGTGGGCATGGCCCCTGCCTCTGGGCGCTGTGGCACAGATGGCCTTTTGGGGTTGCAGCATCCAGAAGTGGTGAGTGAGAGAGTACTTTCTCTTACTTGGAGCCTTGATGTGAGTACTCAGGCCCACATGTTTCCCAATTAGATATGTAATGGAATCCCCAGCAAACCACTAGCAATTCAGCGAAATAGTGACTCCTTTTTTTTTTTTTTTTTAAGATTTTTATTTCTTTATTTGACAGAGCACAAGTAGGCAGGGCGGCAGACAGAGGGAGAGGGAGAAGCAGGCTCCCCACTAAGCCAGGAGCCTGATGTGGGGCTTGACCCCAGGACCCAGGATCACTCCTGAGCTGAAGGCAGCTGCTTAACCGACTGAGCCACCCAGGCGCCCCTAAATAGTGACTCTCGTGGCAGCAATAAGCCAGCAGTTAATATTTCTAGTTATCAACAAATGCATGTCGCTGCTCCCTATTTTAAAAATAGTAGGGAGTTGGAAATCTTAGGACAGAAGGTTCTGCTCAGTCAGCTTTTTTTTCCCTCTCCCTAATTTTTCCTTTTCTGGAGACATACATAAGAGTCAGAACCAGAAGCTAATAGTACCAGTGTCAATTTGGGAAGCACCTCCCCGGCCTCCCTGGGTCCACAGTTTGGTTGGGTGTCCCGAAGGTGGTGACACTTCCAGGGTGGATCCGGAGGGTTTGATGGTTATCCCCAGCCCTTGGCCTTACTGATGCCTGTGGCTGGGGCTGGGTGGGGAGGTACAGAGTTGGGGGGGGGTTGTTGCACACAGGACAAAAGATTTTTGTGGGCCTGGGCGGTGGTGTGGGTGCCAGTTTCACTTTCAGTTTTATGAAGTTTGTTAACTCATTTTACTGAAAGCAAGTACTCATAAAAATCACTTTTTAAAAAAGATTTTGTTTATTTGAGAGAGAAAAGAGAGTGCATGCGTGAGCAGGGCGAGGGGCAGACAGAGAGGGATAAATGGACTTTCCGAAGAGCAGAGAACCCCATATGGAGCTTGATCCCAGGACACTGAGATCATGAGCTGAGTTGAAGGTAGACACTTAACCGACTGAGCCACCCAGGTGCCCCTAAATGTTCTTATACATCTAAGAGTCAATACAGAAATTATTTTGGAAGACTTCTTGAGGTCTGACCACTGACTAGACCGACTTGGTTTCAGACCCAGTGTGACCACAGGTGGCCAAGCCATAGCTCCTGGTCCCGTGTCCTTTGTGCACCTGCCCGTGGTGCTCAGAGGGTCCTTTGGCCATCACATCTTAGACCCAGAGAGGTCTCATGGACATGCAGTCCCACTTAGTCACTGTCTGTGTTCTTATTTAAAATGGCAAAACCACGTAGAAAATATGTTTTCTTATGTTAAAACTAGAGCTCTTCTGAAAATGTTGACATCTTTTCTATTTAGCAACAAAAACCTTGTTGGATTCATAATGCAAACCACTAGAGAAACACAGAAGTTCTTACCCTCTTCCTTCTCCCAGACACCCCAAAACTCAGGAGAACAGCCCCCAGAGAGCCTGTGCTCTGCTCCAATGCATACCCTGGCCCCTTCTGGTGGGCATGGTCACATTTCTAGGAAGTCACAGGTTCACGGTGGATGGCCTTGGGAAGGGACAGACGGACAGAAGGGGTACCTCTCTGCCACCAGGACACCTGGGACATGCTTGGTCCCAGCTGCTAAGGGCCCTCCCCTCTGCAGGTCCTGCCACCCTTTTTGGGTGAGTGGGGTATGCAGGGCGGGATGGGATATGCGTCTTTGCCCAGCATCTCCTCTTTTCTTCGGCAGGGTCCTAGGGCACAGTCTTGGCCGAAGGCTCCCTAGGAAACCCACCTGTCTGGAACCATCACTGACCTTTGTTTCCTGCGAGTTCCTGTCCTCTTTAGGACTTGCCTTTGTGGCTACGGAGGCAGATTTTCTTTGTCAACAGGAGGAAAACATTGGCTTTTCTGTTTTCCCCGGAGACCTTTAGTCATGGTTTCTTTTTCAGGCTCATCTTGGCAGCCAACAGGGATGAATTTTACCACAGACCATCCAAGGTCGCTGACTTCTGGGGGAACAACAATGAGGTCCTCAGTGGTGAGTCTTTCCTCAGGGGGCAACCACAGTATGGCGGGAAGTAGGAGGCCCCGAGTGCCTCTAACTGGTACTGTAAGTGCAGAACAAATGAGTGGACGCTGACTGGTCTCATGGGGGAGGCTCCCAGGCTGGGGTCTGGGACCAGCATTGAGGTGACCAGCCCCGAAGTGTCTACCCAGCACCGGCCACCTGTTTTCGTGTGTTGTGGACCCCCAGAGAAATAGCTGGAAGAATCGGTTGGTTTTTTGGGCTCCACCTTTTCGCAGTGGGGGTGTGGTCAGGTTCATAGGAGGTGCAGGTTCACATTCGGTCACCCCGTGAAGTGTCGTTGTGTGGTGTGTGTGGGTGTGTATGCACGTGTGTGCACGTACACCTGCACATGTTTCTGTTTACACGCCAGTGCGCCTCGCTCCAGAGCTGGTCTGAATTCGGGGAGCAGAGGCTTGGTTGGAGTACACTCAGATGGGAGCTGCATGAGGCGTTCCCACAGAGAGAGGCGGAAGTGGAGGTGACATCTTTGTCCCCTGCCAGCTTAGCCCCGTGGACAGAGAGCAGTTTCTGCCCATGGGGGGCTACTTGGAGGCACGTGGACAGTGCTGGCCAGGCCAGGGTCCCTTTGCCTGAGAGCTGGGCATCAGGGAAGCACGAGGGAGCCTGGTAGAGCTGACAGGGGTGCTCAGGGGTCCAATGGGCTGAGTGGGTAGCCTTAGGGGCCTGGGGACACCAGGTGTGCCCAGCTTTGCCTGCAATATCTAAGAGCTGGACTGTGGAACTTCTACAGAAGGCCTGTATAGGCTGGTTGGGCGGTGGTGTGAGGGAAACACTGCCCAGGCTGGATCATCCTGGTACCGTGTGGGAAGAGGACAGGAGTGGGGACACTGAGGCAGGGCAGTGTCGTGGACAGGAGTTCTGGCAGGTAGTAGGGAAAGCTGCTGTGAGGCTGTGAGGTGAGACCCCTCTTGCTGAGTGCAAGAGGGACAAGAAGCTAGGTTTCTCGGGTATGTCTTGGCCTCCTCAGAAGCTGCACAGGAGACCGTGTAAACGTGTAGACATGAGGATAGAAATGGGGGGCAGGAGACCCCTGTTGTGTAAGCTTCAAGTACCTCAGTATGGTAACCCCAGAGGGGCTGTGTATGTGGGGTCCTTGGCTGGGCCAGCCATGGCTCTCCCAGAGGTTGAGGGTCAGGCCTGCAGGGCTACATGAGGAGGGCTGAAGGGACCTGTGGGCCTGGCCAGTACCATGCCAACCATCCTGAGCTAGAGTAGAATGGAAGGGGGTCATGGGCATGGGGCAGGCTCTGTGTGTCGCTGCTGCAGGGCATTAATGGGAGACTGAAGTGGCGTTGGGGGTGGGGGAACCAGTCAGGGTAGGTGGGGTGAGGGCCTGATGGCACTTGAGTATTTTTGTGGATGAGGACACAGATGAAGGGTTAGCCTGTTGGGCTCCTTTGGCCATCCTGGCCACCTGCTTAGGCACTCCAGCCTGCACCCTACCCCTAAATCAGGGCTAATTTGTAGTGATTTGGAGTTGGTCTCTGGCATGCTGCCCAGTGGCACTGCACCAGTTGGGGCTGGAAGACACTAAGATCCACATCCTCTCACTATCCGGCATCAGCAAATTGTGTGCAAAATTGTAGGCCAGTGGTTCTCCAGATGTGATCTCTGAGCTACTAGCATCAGCATTTCCTTGGGAACTTGTTAGAAGTTTGGAAAAATTGGGGTGTTATTTTTTAAAAATATTTTCTCTGTGTCCTGCTCTCTCTTCTCAATCTCTTTCTCTCTGTCTTCACACATGTATTAGTTTTCTTGAGGTTGTCCCACACTTTGATGATGCTCAATTCATTTTTTAAAAGATTTGATTTGTCAATTTTTTTAACTTAATTTAATTTTATTTTTTTCAGTGTTCCGAGATTCATTCCGATTTATCAATTTTTTAGCATGCACATGTGTGTGTGTGAATGGGGGGAGGGGCAGAGGAAGAGAGAATCTCAAGCAGATACACCACTGAGCGCAGAGCCCGATGCAGGGCTCAATCTCACGACCCTGATTTCATGACCTGAGCCAAAATCAAGAGTCAGACACTTAACTGACTGAGCCACCCAGGCACCCCTGATGATGTTCAATTCATTTTTTTTTTAAGATTTTATTTATTTATTTGACAGACAGAGATCACAAGCAGGCAGAGAGGCAGGCAGAAAGAGAGAGGAGAAAGCAGGCTCCCTGCAGAGCAGAGAGCCCTATGTGGGGCTTGATCCCAGGACCGTGAGATCATGACCTGAGCTGAAGGTAGAGGCCTTAACCCACTCAGCCACCCAGGCACCACTGTTCAATTCATTTTTAAAAACCTTCTTTTCTCTCTGTTTCATTTTAGGTCATTTTTATTGTCATATCTTCACAATCACTAATCTTTTTTTCTGCAGTGTCTAATCTGTTTTTAAGCCCATCATGTATTTTTTTTTTTTATCTTACACAATGTAGTTTTTATCTCTAGAAATTCAATTTTTCTCTCTTACATTTAAGTTCTTAACTGTTGTAGCATGCAGAGTATAGTTTTATTAACTGGATATCCGTGCCTGCAAAATCTGACGTCTGTTTCTGTTCTAGTTCAGTTTTAATAGATTGAACTTTTAGTAAGCAGGGCTGTGGTTTTCTGCTTCTTTGCATGCTTGGTAATTTTTGGTTGGATGCCAAATGTTTATGGATTTTATCTTGTTGAGGACTGAATATTTTTGTGTATCTATAAATATTCCTGAGCTTTGTTTTGGGACACAGCCGAGATGCTCAGAAACAGTTTGATCCTTTCAGGTCTTGCTTTTAGGATTGGTTAAGTGGCTCTGAAGCTATGTCCTGTCTAAGGCTAATGATTCCCTCCTCCTCAGGCAGATCCTTCTATCTTCCCTGCCTGTGCTCCCTGGATCTTGAGGTTTTCTAGGCTGACTTCTGGGAACAGGCACTCTTCCCAGCCCTGTGTGAGCACTGTCTCCTCTAATCTTTTTTTTTTTTTTTTTTAAGATTTTATTTATTTATTTGAGAGAGAGACAGTGAGAGAGAACATGAGAGGGGAGAAAGTCAGAGGGAGAAGCAGACTCTCCAAGGAGCAGGGAGCCCGATGTGGGCCTCAATCCCAGGACTCTGGGATCATGACCTGAGCTGAAGGCAGTCACTTAACCAACTGAGCCACCCAGGTGCCCTGTCTCCTAATCTTTCTGGATGGTTCTTTCCTGGCCACAGTAGTTTCCTCACGCACATGTACTGATCAGTTGTCTGGTTCTGTGCAGCTCTCTCCTCTCTGGTCCTCTGTCCCAGGAGCTCTGGCTGCCTCAATCTCCCCAGGCTCCCAGCCCTTCTCCTCTGCCAGGGAGCCCAGTGGACTCTGCCTGGGCCTCCTCCCCGTACAGTGTCTTGGAGACCCTCTCCAGTCTTGGGGTTCACCTAGTTTGTTTCTTGTCTCAGAGATCTCTGTCCTTTGTTTTTTGATGTCCGGTGTCTTGAAACCCACTGTTTCATGTATTTTATTTTTTGGTGGTTTTAGGTAGGAGAGTAAATCTGGTCCCTGTTGATTGGCTGGATGTGGAATTCTTGTTTACTTTTCAGCGTTTGATTTGTTGGAGTTTTTTATGCATTCTGGATTGGTATGTTGGATAAATGTATTGCCTACTCATTTTCTTAATGACATCTTCTGGTAAGCAGAATATTTTCTTTTAGTTAAGTGTGATTTACTCTTTGATGGTTTATTCTGTTTGTGTCTTTGCCTACCCTAAGGCCTTAAAGATGTTTTCCTCTTTTTGCTTCTAGAAGCCTTTTGATTTGGGGTTTTGTGTTTAGGTCTGATTTATCTTACATTTTTGTACTTGGTGTGAGGTAGGGGTTGAGGCTCATATCTCACCCCCCACATCTCTCCAGTTCTTCTGACCTTATTTATTGAATAGATACTCTTTTGTCTATTGCATTGCTATGGCAACTTGGTTGAAAATCAGTTGAACCCATGTATGTGGATCTCTTTTGGACTTTTTTGTATCCCATCGATCTGTTCATCAATGCTGACACCAACATCACACTGTCTGGATTACTGCAGCTTTTTTCAGCAAGTTTTGAAATCAGGTGGTGTTAAGTCCTCCAGCTTTGTTCTATTTCAGGACTCCTTTGGCTCCTGGCTCTTTTGTGTGTGCATAGCGATTTTAGAGTCATCTTGTGAATTTCTGTAAAACAGAAAGCTTCCTGGGATTTGGATTTGGATTGTAGACTCTTCTGGCCGTTTGGGGAGGACTGTCATCTTAACAATATTGACTCTTCGGTTAAGGAACAGGGCCCATCTATCTCTCTTTTAATCATAGCTTCTTGACTTCTCTCAGTGCTACTCTGTGGTTTTCAGTCTTCAGGCATTACATGTTTTTCCTTAAATGTTTTCTTACGTTTTGTTTTGTTTAATGCTATTGTAAATGGTATTTTTAAATTTTCATTTTCTGATTCTTGCCTCTATTTACTTACCAGTTCTAGGAGATTTTTTTAAAGTTAATTTTTGGGGTGTCTGGGTGGCTTAGTCAGTTAAGCGGCTGCCTTCGGCTCAGGTCATGATTCCAGGGTCCTGGGATTGAGCCACACGTTGGGCTCCCTGCTCAGCAGGGAGTCTGCTTCTCCTTCTCCCTCTGCCTGCTACTCTGCCTACTTGTGATCTCTGTCAAATAAATAAAATCTTAAAAAAAAAATAAAATCAATTAATTTTTTAAAGTAATTTCTATATCCAACATGGGCTCAAACTTAGGACCTTGAGATCAGAAGTCCCATGCTCTTCTGACTGAGCCAGTCCGAGCCCCCCACGAGATTTTTTTTTGGAGGTGTAGATTCCTTTTGGATTTTCTTCACCTGTAATCATGTCTACAAATAAAGATAGTTAACTTCTTCCTTTCTGATCTTTCCATCTTTTATTTCTTTTATAGGTACAATTTATTATTATTATTATTATAAAAATGATTTTGCTGCTTTTGCCCCAGTCTTCAACTGAAATGATCCTCTAATCTAGGAAGACACTTTCCTGTGGCTTTAAGGTCCTTATCGACCCAGTGGCAAGGCCCCATGGAGGACTAACCATGGCCCAGGCCTGTGGGATGAAAATGAGACAAATAGGTGGGCCTAGATGTGCTCCGGGCTCCTAGCGAATCACCCACCTTAGGGCTTATGTGTCCTGCTGTGTCCTGTTAGGGGAGGACAGCCAGCGGCCCCGCACCTGATCCAGGATGTGGGCTTGGGCCTGGTGCCTTTGCTAGGATGTGGCTGCCACTGTGCTTCCAGCACAGTGTTGATCCAATGTTGATCCAAGCATCAGGATGCATTCCACACATGCCAGGCTCCACTGCAAGTTTTAGGGACTCCCATGGGCATCAGATGTCATCTTGGGGGCAGGGTCTCTCTCACATGCCCTGTGGGCTTTGGGGCTGCCTTGCCCTGAGTAGTTCAAGACCCTGTTCCTTAGCCCAGGCTGCTGGGCTGAGCATCTGTCTCCCCAGGACACAGGGACGGCGCAGTAGGTGCTCCTGGTGGTGACACTACCATCTGTCACAGGGCTTGACATGGAAGAAGGCAAGGAAGGAGGCACGTGGCTGGGCATCAGCACACGGGGGAAGCTGGCTGCACTCACCAACTACCTGCAGCCACGGCAGGACCGGGATGCCCGGGGCCGAGGTACCGTGGGACCCTGGTTCCGGGGGGTAGGGGGTGGGGAGGGCGGGCTTTCCTCAGGCACATGTGGTCCAGGAGGAGGAGGAAGGGGAATCAGGGTGTTTCTGGCTCTGGGACCCACTGGCTGGCATCACTGTGGGAATCCCCGCTCTGCCTGGCCCACGCAGCCCCTGCTGGCACAGACATAGTCGGCCCCTCTCAGGGAACACTCTCCATATTTGTGCCCCAGGCCAAAGTGTCACTTCTGGCTCTTGTCATTGTCCCCCTCCCCCCACCTGTGAGATGTTTGCAGAGCAGTACCCCTGGGAAGACAGCTCTGCGGACACACGTTGTCCCCAATGAAGGTTTTTTCCTCTCATGCTGTACTTCCGTTTTGGGCATAAGGGCAGAAATATAAATAAATAAATAAATAAACCCCAACAAAAACCGAGTTCTGGATGCAGACCTCCTTAGTTGCCAGGTCAGTGAGGTATGGCTGGTGTGGGGGTTTAAGTTTAGCCTGCACTGGCCCCACATCGGTCTCCCCAGGATGAGGGACTCCGCCCTGCCACCTCGGCCATGTATATCTGTCCCCTACCCACAGGTGAACTTGTGACCCACTTTCTGACTACAGACATGGACAGCTTGTCCTACTTGAAGAAGGTCTCTGCGGAGGGCCACCTGTACAACGGCTTTAATCTCATAGCAGCTGACCTAAGGTGGGTCTGCTAGGAGGGAGATGGTAGCCCACCGGCCACTGCCACGGAGCAGAGCTGTGGGCTTGGCAGGAAGTGGGATTCCCACCCTGCCACCCAGGTTGGGGTGCTATGGCAGCCTTTCCAGGGACATCGCACCTGGTGGGCATGGTGAAGCTTCCCAGGGCTGACTGACTGTTGTGGGGATGCAAGGAGCGGAACCCGGGCTTCTGGTGGCAGCGAGATGGTCACCAGCTCCTGCACATGAGCTGTGGCGTGACTGCAGCGGGCATCTGTGGTCCCGGGGGCACCCCTGGCCCACATTGGCCCCTTGCCCCTAAGGTCTCCTCCCCAGGCCTGTGGCTCAGGAGTGCCCTGTTCTGGAACTGCCCCTCACTTGCCCTGTTCTCTGGTGCGCAGAGGGGCCCCTGGAGAAGAAAGGTCCCTAGCAGCCTGGCTTCCCGGCAGTGCTGGCAGTCAGGTGCTGCTGAGCTCTGGGGCCTCCTGGTGGCTACTTTAGGGCCGTGTGTCTGAGCACATGGCGTGGCTCATCTCATGTTCTGCAAGGGGATCAGTGGGCAGCTCCCAGGGTCTCCCTGGTGTTGTCAAAAGGGGCGACAGAGCTGTCCCAGCTGCCCATGGGCCCCATCACCAGAGGACATGGAAGCTGTGCTGTACAGTCATTTGGGGAAAGTTTTCCCCTCCCTGGAGTCGGGAGAATAGGCAGGGAGCAGAGGCAGGAGGAAGGGGCCCCAAGAGGCCTGGAGCCTCAGGATTGCTGGCACTGGCTGAGAGTCAGGAGTGGGGTGGCTGGAACCTGGTAGGGACCTGTGGCCAGTGGGGCGTTTCCAGGCCCCGTGAGGCATACAGGGGTACAGTAGTAGCAAGCAGTTAGCTGCATGGCCATGTGGGGGTGGATGCTGGGCCCTTCCTGTGCAGCACCTGGCACTGCCGTCCCATGTGCAACTGCTGCGGCCAAGCTCCCGACGGGCTGCTGATGTGGCTGAGACCCTGCTGGTATGCGATGGGGCTGTGGTCCAGCAGCCCCTGGAGATAGTAGCCCCATCCTACTGATGAAGTTCTAGAACATATGTGAGATTCGGTGGGGTAAGGTCCGGAGCCGATGACCAAGAAAGAATTCTTGAGGTATCTTTGGTGCAGAATGGTGGTTTATTAAAACATGGGGACAGGACCCGTGGGCAGGAAGAGCTGCTACCCCGGGGTTGTGAGGGGTGGCAGGTTGTGTACCATGGAGTTGGGGGCAGGTAAGGAAAAGGAAGGTTTCAGTAGAATTTTCGTATGGTAAAGAGGACCTACAAGATACTTGATACTAGAGGCCCTGCCATTGCCAAGGTCATTTTGTCCTCTAGCAAAGTATTAACATTAAGATGGGTGGGAGATTCCCAAAGAATGTCACATATGTCCCACCCAGGAGTGAGGGTGGGGGAAAGTTGGAGGGTGTCAGCTTTTGCTTTGTCCTCAGCCAGCCTTCTGTTCCCTCATCACTACCAAGCGGGGACTGGGTTGGGGACACTGTTGACAGTCTTGATGCATAAGGCAGATCACGGCAGGTGGGAGGGTGGCGATGCCATAGCCGCAAAGGGTGGCCAGGGTGGAGAGGCCCTGGTGGTATGTCCTCGCCTTGGATGCCCCAGGGCCCATGTGCATTTCCCAGAGCAGGGTGTACAGAGTGGCTGGTGGATTCAGGCATTGGGTAGGAACAGGGCAGGGCAGCCAGGGTGGTCTGTGCTCCGTCCCATACTTGACAGATGTGGCCTGGGAACTGCAGGGGTTTTGTGACTTTGTCCTTTAGTGAAGTGAGCATCCATCGTCCTGCCCTCCTGCCCTCCCGCCCTCCCCTTGTGCACCCCCACTGCCGATGCCCCAGAGGTTAGTGAAGGTGGTCAGTTTCCACCCTGGGAGGTGGTCAGTACGGCACGGAGGGCCCATGACCAGACACGTGGCCTGAGCCCACCTCCTTCCTCAAGAGCCCCAGGCCAACTGTGCCTAGATTGTCCATTGCATGTGACCTGCTCAGCCCCACTCTTGCTGCACGGATCGACACACTGATGCGGAGGCTGCAGTGGCCATGGGAGGAGGTGGGTGCTGGCATGTGCACTTGCTGGGCCCGGCCCTCTCATTCTCACCATGGACAGCTCCCAGGGGGGAACTTCAATGCCTTTCTTGCCCTCCCTGTGCTGGGACCACCTTACTTGTCATTCTCTGTGCATCTGACCTGGTCTGGGAGACCAGTAGCCCAGCAGGACTCAGTGCTCAGCAGCCATGTCAAGTGCTGGGTGATGAGGGCCCTGTGCTCTGAGTGGACACCTGCGTGGGCAGGCGGCTCCCGCAGGTGGGCTTGGGCCCGTTGGTGCCTGAGCAGCTCTCCTGCCTCCTGGGACCACAGGGTCAGAGCCTCCCTCCCTAGACACAGCCCTCAAGGACAGGTGGTGGCCAGGGCAACTGAGGGAGTTGGCCGTCAACAAGCAACCCCAGTGGTAGGTGCCAGAAAGAAGTCAGGGTCAAGGAGAAGAGCTCCTCATTGCAGTCATGGCCAGTCCCTGACCAAGCACAGCAGGAGTTGATGTCTAATCCATGGGTCTTCATGCTTTCTAGCTTTTTGCCTATAAAAATTTCTGAAGTCTTAGCTAGATAGCTTAAGAAATGAGCCAGGGGCTGTGGGGAGGAAGAACAGGAGCAGAATGTGAAGCCACCTGGGGCCAGGTTGGGTGCAGCGGGAGGGACTCCCTGGCCGCCCCTCCCAGCCCTTTCTTTACAACGGTTCAGCTTGGAGGCTTAGGTCCCGATGTGGCGTTCTCTGCACCTGCAGGCCGGAAGGTGGCTCACAGGCCAGGAAGAGACCTTCTCTAGTTTGCAGAGAAGGCGGTTTTAAGGAAGATTTACTATGGTATTTATGAGTGGGAACATTTTCAGTTCCCAGCCATTTGAACTATTTTTAAATGCACACTCAGCACATAAAAGTAGGCAAATGGGATCTTTGGTGCTTTGTTCAGAAGCCTCTGTTGCCCTGGGGCATCCCACTGTGTCTGGAGGTGTATGGGGATGGGCTGTGGGGGTGGGGAGTGGTGTTTGCAGGCAGAGTGAGGTTATTGCCAGGGGTCTCAGATCTTAGCTCTGAGGCCCCTGGGAGGCTGGAGCCCTGACTAACTCCTGTCCTGACCCTGTGCTGGGGATGGTGATAAAGTCTTAGAATATAAGTGAGGTTCGGTGGGGTGCGGTCCGGAGCTGATGACCAAGAAAGAGTTCTTGAGACATCTTTGGTGCAAAATGGTGGTTTATTAAGGCACGGGACAGGACCCGTGGGTAGAAGAGCTGCTGCCCTGGGGTTGTGAGGGGTGGCAGGTTATGTACCATGGGGGGCGGGGGAAGGAAAAGGGAGGTTTCAATAGAATTTTCATATGCTAAAGAGGACCTACGAGATACCAGAGACCTTGTGGACTTGCCATTGTCAAGGTCATTTTCCCCTCTAGCGAGGTATTAACGTTAAGATAGGTGGGAAATTCCTAAAGAATGTCACATATGTCCCACCCAGGAGTGGGGGTGGGGGAAGGTTGGAGGGTGTCAGCTTTTGCTTTGTCCTTAGCCAGCTTTCTATTCTCTCATCAATGGGACCATGGAGATCACCAGGCAGTGAGAGATTTGGCACCCTGTGGCTCCCATCTGACCTTCTCTGTCCTCCTGTCCACAGCACGGAGAAGGGAGATGTCATTTGCTACTACGGGAACCGGGGGGAGCCCGAGCCAGTCGTCCTGGCACCAGGTAAGCCTACTCTGGCGGGCAGTGACAAGGTGGGGGCTGTTTCTGTGGGGACACTTCTGTAATTTTCAGAACCCAGGGCTCGGTCACATTTCTCTCCAGGGATTATGCTCCTTGGCCTTTGATGTGCCTTATGCCCCCATAGTGGCCCATGGCCTACACTTGGTCCACAAGTCAGGGCACCCACGGCAGGGCTACCTTCCCCTAGCCCAGAGCCGGTGACTGCCCAGAGAGAACTGAAAACTGACAATGTTTACAAAAGGACACAGGGGTCTCTTCTACCCCCAGTTCTGTGTGTTGGCCCAGAGGCCTTTGTGGAAGTATCTGAAAACTGCCCCTGTGATGCCCTCTCGCAGTTCTCAGTATTTGAGATCCTGTGACTGGAGATGCTTGTTTTCTGCTAAAGGGAGGAAGGAAGGGACACAGAGGGGGAAGGTGGAAGGGAGGGAGTGAGGTTGTTTCAAGTATGTCAGGTTGTTTCCCTGAGCTTGACCCTGCCTGATCATGTCACTTTTTAAAATTAACAGCTTTAATGAGATGTAATTCAGATATCATACTGTTGGGTCCATGGTCAAAGGAGCAAGACTGATACAAAGCGAAGATCAAGTAAAGCTTTATTTCGCGCTAAGCATCGAGAATCAAACTGACCAGCCAGGGCCGTCTCTTGCAAAGAGGCGACGACCGTCTGCCTTACAGACTAGCTTTTAAGGGCAAAGGCCATGTGGTTGGACCTGGCCATGCACGGTGACCAATGAGATTTTAATGCAGAGAAAGCTGCACAGTCCTGCTAGGTCACACGTAAGTGACCAATTGAATTACAATTTACCCTATAGTAGATAGTTGAACTAGCCTATCACCTTGGTCAGAATGGGCGCCCAAAGGGCGGGGCCCATACTCCTTGGTAGCTAGGAGACGGTATGCGCCCCCCACCAATTGGATACCTCCACCTGGCCTGACCCACCCTTGTATTTGGGCTTTGTTACCTGGGACTGGTTTCCCGGACTTGTAAGTTCCTGAAGGGGGAGGGGCAGGGCCAGGATGGAGCTGCTCTGGCTAAACAGGCCCTTACAATACAATGTACTCACATACACTGTATCATTCGGTAGGTTTTAGTCTATCTGCAAAGGTGTGCAACTATCACTGATATGGAACCCCGTGACATTTTCATCACCCCAAAAGAAACCCCTGTCCCCATTAGCAGTCACCCCCCCACTCCCCTCCACCACTCAGTCCCAGACAGCCACTAACCTCCTTTCTGTCTCTGTGCATTTGCTTATTCTGAACATTTCATGCAAGTGTAATCAGCCAATATGTGGCCTTTTGTGATTTCTTTTTCCTTCCTTCCATCCTTTCTTCTTTTTAATTAACATATAATGTATTATTTGTTTCAGGGATACAGATCTGTGATTCATCAGTCTTACAGAATTCACAGTGCTCACCATAGCACATACCCTCCCCAGTGTCCATCCCCCAGCCACCCCATCCCTCTCACCTCCCTCCCCTCCAGCAACCCTCAGTTTGTTTCCTGAGATTGAGTCTCTTATGGTTTCTCTCCCTCTCTGGTTTCATCTTGTTTCATTTTTGGCTCCCTTCCCCTTTGATCCTCTGTCTTGTTTCTCAAATTCCTGATAATCAGTGAGATCATATGATAATTGTCTTTCTCTGATTGAGTTATTTTGCTCAGCATAATACCCTCTAGTTCCATCCATGTCATTGCAAATGGCAAGATTTTGATGGCTGCATAGTATTCCATTCTGTATATATAGCACATTTTCTTTATCCATCCACCTGTTGTTGGACATCTAGGCTCTTTCCATAGTTTAGCTATTGTGGACATTGCTGCTGTAAACATTGTGGTGCAGGTACCCCTTTGGACCACTACATGTGTATCTTTGGGGTAAATACCCAGTAGTGCAATTGCTGGGTCGTAGGGTAGCTCTATTTTCAACTTTTTGAGGAACCTCTATACTGTTCTCCAGAGTGGCTGCACCAGCTTGCATTCCCACCAACAGTGTAGGAGGGTTCCCCTTTCTCCGCACCCTCGCCCACACCTGTCATTTCCTGACTGATTAATTTTACCATTCTGACTGGTGTGAGGTGGTATCTCACTGTGGCTTTGATTTGTATTTGACTGACTTCTTTCTTAACATCATGTTTTCAAGGTCTCTCTGTGTTGTAGCACAAATTAGGGTTTCATTCCTTTTTACAGCTGAATAATATTCCATTGTCTAGATAGTCTACATTTCATTTTCCCGTTCATCTGGCTGATGAACCCTTGGGTTGTTTTCAGCTTTCGGCCATCGTGGATCATGCTGCTGTAGACATTTATTTTAAGTTTTTGCACAGACCTGTGTTTTCCTCTTTCTTATGCATATACTTAGGAGTGGCGGTGCTGGATGGTAAGGTAACTGTTTAACCCCCTTGGGGAACTGCCAAACTGTTTTCCAAAGCAGCTCCACCATATACATTCCCACCAGCAGTATATGAGGTTCCAATTTTTCCACATCCTCACCAGCAGTTATTATTTTTTTTTAAAGATTGTTAAAATTTAAAAAATAATAATCTCTATACCCAGTGTGGGCCTCAAACTCAAGACCCCGAGATCAAGGGTCTCATGATCCCCTCACAGAGACAGCCAGGTGCCCCTGTCTGTCTTTTTGATTACAGCCATCCTAGTGGGTGTAAAGTAGTGTCTCCTGGTGATTTTGGTTTGCCTTTCTCTGATGGCAAATGATGTTGAGCATCTTTTCATGTGCTTATGGGTCATTTGTATGTCTTCTTGGAAGAAATGCCTGTTTAGACCCTTTGACCATTTTTAAATTGGGTTGCTTGTATTTTTATTTTTGAGTTGTAGTTCTTTTTCTCTTTTTTTTGAGGTTTTATTTTTTAATTTTTTAAAGATTTTATTTACTTAGGGATGCCTGGGTGGCTCAGTCAGTTAAGCGTCTGCCTTCAGCTCAGGTCATGATCCCAGAACTCTGGGATCAAGTTCTACATTGGGCCCCTTGCTCAGCAGGATGGGGGGGACTGCTTCTCCCTCTCCCTCTGCTGCTCCCCCTGTTCATACTCTCTCTCTCTTACTTTGTCAAATCAATAACATCTCAAAAAGAAAAAGATTTTATTTATTTATTTATTTATTTAAGAGAGAGCATGAGTGGGGGAAAGGGGCAGAGGGAGAAGCAGACTTCCTGCTGAGCAGGGAGCCTGATGCAAGACTTGATCCCAGGACACTGGGATCATGATTTGAGCCAAGGGCAGACACCCAGATGCCCCTAAAATTTTATTTTATTTTTTAAACATTTTTTTAAGATTCTATTTATTTATTTGTCAGAGAGAGAGAGAGAGCATAGGCAGGCAGAGTGGCAGCAGAGGCCCATTCTGATGTTGGCCAACTCCCTAACCACTGACTGATATCCAGCAGGTATCCCTCTGGCCTCAGGTTGCTGTTCTCCCACTCTTGACCTTCTCAGGGAGATTGACACCTTGCAGCTTTTTCCTAACTTAGAGATGGGAGTGAGATGGGGAGGTGGTTCCTTCTTGAGGTTCCCCTTTCTTTTGCCTCATTGGAATTCAGGTTGTCAATTTATCATCATTCTGTCCATCAAGCCTGCTTGGTGCTTGTGCCTTAAGTCTCCTGTGAGTGCCCTGCTATGCTGAGTTCTCACCCTTTGCCACACAGATGGGTTAGGAATGTGCATGGAGAAGATGCTGAAGTGTGGGGTGGTCTGGGCTCTGTGTCCCTGCCCATACTCCTAGTCCCTTGCCCAGTGCTTGGTAGGTGGGTAATCTCTGAATTACTGACATTTACCCTGAATTCCCACAATGGGGCCTCTGCCTTGGTTGGACTGTCCCCTTCCCTGCAGGAACGTATGGACTAAGCAATGCGCTGCTGGAGACGCCCTGGAAGAAGCTGTGCTTTGGGAAGCAGCTCTTCCTGGAGGCCGTGGAGCGGAGCCAGGCTCTCCCCAAGGATGTCCTCATTGCCCAGCTCCTGCATGTGCTCAACAATGATGAGGCGTGAGTGGGCGGAGCCTGCTGGGACAAGGAGAGGGTCCCACTTCTTCTCTAGTCCTGGGACATAGAGGCAGGCTGGCTGTGCTGCCCTGGGAGGCTTGTGGAGGTGACTGGGAACAGCTCCTCAGCCCGGGGGTGCCCGGTAGACATACTGTTCTTTGCTCTTCTCCTAACTGCTCCCCTCCTGGGTCAGTATACTTGGAAGCTCAATGCTCTCAGAGGCTCGGTGTGGGCCTTTGTGGGCCAGAGTAGCTGGAGGTTCCCCATGTCTGCACACAACTGGTGGGAGATTCTAGAAAGCTCCAGATGCTCAGCAAACCACAGAAGCAAGCAGCCAGCCTGGGAGTATGTCTGGGGGTTAACTGTCCTTCCCACATGCTGTCCTACGAGTGCTATGGCACAGACACACCTGTCCCAGGAATCGCCTGGGGGAAAGGAACTCCTGACCCAACTTCCCTAAGGTACCTCCATGGCCTCTGCACACAGTACTTGGCTCAGGGACGCCCACCCCCTCCACCCCCACCCCCACCCCTGCCACATGTCATGGCCATCCCCCCTGGGAGTCAGAGGTGCTGGCCATGCTACCTTCCTCCCATGCTGCAGTGTCACCCATACTCAGGCCAGGCCCCTATCCTGCCTAGATGACCCGATAACCCCTCAGAGAACCCCAAAGGGCTGCCTCCTGCTTCTCTCTACTGGAACCCTTCCCTGCCCCTTGCTTACTCTCCATCTCTTTTTGGAACCACGAACCATGGGACCTTCAGCCTCAGCATAGCCACCCCTCAGGGAAGCCCTAATTGGGCTGGTCCAGCATCCCATGCTCAACTGTATGTAAGTCATGTGGCCCCCAGTCTCTTTTCTGTCACTCCTGCTGGCCTGAAATGGGGTCCTGGCCGCTTTGACAGTTGTGGTCCCAGCGCCAGCTTCAGTGACTGGCAAGTTGCAGGGCTCAAGTGGGCTCCTGTCATGTGGAGAGATGCCCATAGGGTACCTCTTGGGGCAGGCAGTGTGTGTGTGTATGTGGCTGGGGACCCCTCAGCCAGGCCCCTGCCCCACAGCACCCCAACCGCTCAGACCTCACCAAGACAGGTAGGTGAGTGTGCTCTAAGAGATGACATCTGTCCTTCCCCGGGGGCAGGGAGTGCGGGGAGATGTTGCCTCCACTGGTCTGACCAGATGGACCACCTCCCCCCACAGCATTTGCTGATTCAGCAGAGCCTTCCCCAGTGCTGAGCTCATAGGTGCTCCTGTCCCTGGGTCCTGGGAAAGCTCCTGGGGGCCCTGGTAGGGAGAGCTGGCCTGGCAGTCCCTGTTTGGCAGCCTGGGCCCAGTGACGGAGCCCTAAGTAAAAGACTGGACTGAGACTTGAGGCCTTCAGCAGAAAAGTGCCCAGAAAACCTTGTGGCTCCCAAACCACCTTGTGAGGCTGGTAGGCTCCTTGGGCACTGCAGGCCTTGAGGATGGCAGGTGGGGCTGTGGGTGGATGGGAGGGGGTGGCAGTGACCCCTCCTCTGTCCTTCCAGGCAGCTGCCAGACCCAGCCATTGAGGACCAGGGCAGGGAGTATGTGCAGCCCTTTCTGAGCAAGTACGCGGCTGTGTGTGTACGCTGCCCGGGCTATGGCACCAGGTATGAGGGGCTGCTGGGTGCGTTCAGTCCTGTCCCATGAGGAGCCCTGCCTTCCCTGAACTTTCTGGATCCCAGAGCCTCTGCCCTGTTTATAGGCAGCTGCCATTTCAGCTTGTGGGGCTATGGGGCCAGCAGATACCACAGGTGACGGCTATGCGCAAAATGCTCACCGGCCCCCAGGGGCGCTGCAATGTTTCCTGGGCTGCTTCCTGCTCCCTATGCAGCTATGAGGGGGCTGGGATGGCTGTGGGCGCCCTCAGGTTCCAGATCCCTATGGGGCCAGAGGTCTCACTGCCTGGCTCTTCCCCTCACTTCGCCCTCTGTCCTTGTGTCTGTTACATTCTGTGTGTGACCAGGGCAGAATTAAGTCATTTCAGCCGGGACATCACCCAAGAAAGGGGCAACTTCTGGTCTCAGGCACAAGGGGGGAGGGAATGCCTGGGAAGGAGAAACTGTTGGCATGGGTGTCTGCTGTCCCAATAAGTTCCTTCTGTGCCTCTCTCCTTCCTGAACAGAGGAAGATTGGCTCTGTGTGCCTGGGAGGTCTATCCCATCCCTGTGATTCTGTCTGGGGCAGCCTACCTGCTGTACTTGGAGGTGGGTGGGCTGCTGGCCCAGCCAGGACGCCCTAGGAGTGCTGTTGCGCACCTGGCCCACCTGGCCTGGAGACAGACTGTGGCCTTGGGCAAAGCAACATCTTCCTGGATTCGGCTTGAACCAGGCCCCGTGGGTACCAGCCTTGTGCCGGCCTGGTGACCGGTAGTGTGGACTGTGATGGATAGGCCAAGCTCTTGGGGGTCGGTGGCCACTAAGGACTCAGGGATGGGGTGCATGGGTGGTGACAAGTGCTGAGAGATGCCACGATGATACCACATGTACTCTGGGTACATGGTGAGGTCAACACATAATGCTTGGTTTTCGAGTTCAGGTTGGCCCGAGTCTTCCATCCTCCCGCAGATGACAGCTTCAAGCCCTCTAGCTGGGGGATGGGATGGTAGGCAGGGCCAGGGTGGTGCCAGGGCCCAGCACTGGTGCTCCAGAGCCCAAGGGTTGTATGCTTGAATGGTGGCCTTTCCATTCTCAGGCTTTTCCCTTGGCAGGTAGCAGGGCATCTGTTCTCTCAGGCTTCTCCAGCACAGACTTGTTTTCTCGGCTAAATTACATGCTTATGTGTACCCACGTGCATGAGGCAGAGTGCCAGGTCTGCTCCCTGGCCAGGTGTGTGGCTGCTGGGTCCAATCCTGAGTGGGACCCCCAGTCTTCAGCATGCGTGTGCCTACTCTGGGTATCAGCCTGTACTGGGGCTGCTTGGGGACCTGGTACCTGCCCTCTCTCAGGGAGAGGCAGGTGGTAACAAAGTGAGGACTGTCCTTAGGGACAGCTGGCAGGAGGAGAGAAGGTGTGCTGAGCATTTGGGATGGGTAGTCGGGGAGGAAGACAGGAGAGGGTTCCTGGTAACAGAGACCTCATTTGGGGCTCTACCAGGCAGGCAGAGGACTGAACATAGGCCCCCTGCTCTCTTTCAGAACCAACACCATCATCCTTGTGGACGCAGATGGGCACGTGACCTTCACAGAGCGTAGCATGCTGGACAAGGACCCCTCCTGCTGGGAGACCAGCACCCACGAGTTCAAGCTGCAGAGCTAACCCCTCTCCGTGGGTGTGGCCATTGGGCTCCTGGAAGGCCCTGCCTCGAGGACCAGTATGGATAGGAGCCTCCTATAGCCACACACACTGCCTGTGACTTGGGCAGGACCAGGGCCCTTGGTGTTTCTGTGACCTGTCCGTGTCCACGTGTCCAGCTCAGGGTCTGCCCTTACGCCAGTGGGAGTGACAAGAGTCCCGCAGCCCGGCTCGGGGCAGGCCCAGGTGTGCTCTGCGTGTATGAAGGCACCTGGGCCTGCACCCTGTCCAAGCATAGAGGCACACACTCAAGGCATATGCTTCCATGCACACCTGCAGGTGCATGGGCACACGTATACATGTATAGGTAACAGATGGGCACACGCATGCTCAAACGCACACACTGATCCTAGCGTATACACATATGCATACCAGACAGACAGAGATGTGCCTCTCACATCTGCAGGCGCTGCCGGCCAGTGGGTCTTTGCTTTGATCAAAACAACAGGGTTTTGTGTTTAAAAGACTTGTGTTTAAAAGTGGCTCCCTCTCTCCTGGGCGTGGTCTACTTCTGGACAGTTAGACTTGCTCTTGGAGAGGGGGCTGAAGGATGACAAGAACCCCAGGAAAACCCACTGTCATAACAGAAGCACAGGCTGGTTGGTGGTCTTTTGTGCCCTGGAGGGGGGTGGTCTCCTGTGTGCATGGGGTAGCCCTGTTGGGGGAGGAGGGTGGTCCTCCCTGAAGCACCAGGGGTCCTGTGTATGCTGGGGCACCTTGGTAGGCTCTCAGGCACCTACCTGCCCACTGGAGGTCATGGGTCTTGGGAAGGCCCTCTCAATGAGGGGACACAGCCAACCCTTGCTGTTTCCCTTCTCCTTGGGAAGTCAGACTTCATAGGAATCTGTACTTGAATGTGAGACCATGATAATAAAATCCTGAGGCTGTGGTGAGTCAGTGCATTTCAGGTCCTTGTGTGTTGGGGGACAACTGTGCAAAGGCTCAGTAGGGTTGCTCTCCTGGTCTACAGGAGCTCCCAAGGCACACCCACCAGAACAGGCCTCTTTCCACTTTCTTCTTTTGCTCATGGGTTCCTGAGCACCATGATGGAAACCCGAGGGGCCATTGGCCTGTCCATCTGTCTGTCCTTGGGCAGAGGCTGGGGTTGGCGAGAGCCTGTATGCATGGGACATGGTGGGTGCCAGTTACAGGGCCTCCTGAGCTGGGCTGAGGGGCCAGGGACTCATCTGGGTATAGTGGGGAGCCCTTGGGGACCACCCCATGGAATGGTGTGGTCAGGCCTACACTTGGGGTAGACTCTAGAGGCCAGGGTATGGTAGGAATTGATGGGTTTTGGGGCAAGGGGGCAAGTGGAGTCTGTCTCAACCCTAAGACCCTGGTTTGTGGCAAGTAGTCAGGAGTTCCTGTCCCTAGCCCAGACTGAGCATCAAGGGGTTCAATGTGTGTCCAGTGCTGAGACCCAGGCTTCCATTGGCCTTTGCAGCTGGCCCCCCAACTTGGCCTTTGTAGAGCCAATGAGAGCTTGGGGTGAGGTGTGGACCTGTACCCGGCCCCACTTGCCTTTTCAACCCTTCCCTCTCTTCACCCTGAGCACCCCTCAGGGGCCTGATGCCCTCCTTGGCTCACTTTGAACTCGAGGAAAAGTGCTTGAGCATGGTCAGGTTTGAATGGGCCCCTCAGTGGTGGCATAGCCCACACCCCCAGGCCCAGGGACAAACGCTTGTTGGCTGAGCCACATCAAGCCAGGCTGTCAGCCCGGGCACTGCTGATGCCCTTCGTCTGCCTCAGTACCCCATGCCGGCACCCACCCTGGCCGGCATGTCTGCCTTCATGGGGCACCACCGGGCAGGTGCAAAGCCATCTGATGTTTTTCTCTACCCCAGGGACAGGGCCTGTACGGGGATACCCCAGCCCTCAACTACCCTGGGCTCCCCAAGTGCCTGAGCCCCCTGAAGAAGGGGCAGCCCAAGATGTAATTCTATTATGCGTTAAGTTGTGTGCCCCCCAAAAGATCTGTTGGCCCTAGCCCCTGTATCTCAAAATGTGACCTTAGGGTCTTTACAGAAGTAATCAAGATAAAATGAAGTCATTAGAGTGGGCCCTAATCAAGTATGACTGATGTCCTTATAAAAAAGGGAAAATTTGGACACGGGGACAGGCATGCAGGCAGGCAGAATGCCCTATAAGGACTGGAACTATGCTCTCCCATGCCAAGAAGCTACCAGAAGCTGAGAGAGACTGGGAACAGATCCTTCCCTGGTGCCTTTAGAGGGAGCATGGCTTTTTGATGGCTCTTTGATCTCAAACTTCTGGCTTCCAGAACTGTGAGACAATAAATTTCTGTGGTTTAAGCCACTCGTTTGTGGTACTCTGTTATGGCAGCTCTAGCAAACTAATATATTTGTGACCTTCATTTTACAGATGAGGAAATTGAGGCTTGAGGAGCTACCATAACAGTGTCTCAGTCCCTGGGGACATAGGGAGGCAGAGCCATGGGGCCAGGAAGGAGCAGGATGAGGATAAGGCATGTCTTGGGGTTTCTCCCCCTTGTAGACTCATGGTCCTCCTATGTTGGTTTCACCTGCTGCCCTGCACCCCCCCAATCATGTCATTTATCTTGCCTCTGCCACTGCCCTTGGTTGTACTTTCTGCACAGCTTTGCTGTCCCTTCTGGTTGAAGAACTATTTCCCCCAAATACTGAAACCACACTCTCCCTCACATCCTGCAGCTCTTTGGTAAAGTCTTGGGGGAGGCATCCTATCTGAAGCTGCAGTCAGCCCTGCCTTGGTCCCTGCTCTATTTTCTATAGCAGTTAGCGTGGTGATATGCTATGTGTTTTGCTTGATTGTTTCTTGTGTGTCTCCCTGTCAGAACAAGAGCTTTAGGAAAGCAAGGCCATTCCTGTCTTGTCCATCACTGTATCCTGATGCCCAGGCCAGGTAGACATTTGAACCAAAAATGACATTACTGGCACTTCCCAAGCCCCCATTTATTTAGGCCTTGAAGTGAGACCCTTTGTGTGGTTAGAAGGGACCCTGGGAAGCTGCATGTTGTAGAAGTGCTTTTTTTTTTTTTTTTTAAGATTTTATTTATTTATTTGACAGCGAGAGAGAGAAGAGAGAGCAGGAAGACGAGCAGGAGTGGGAGAGGGAGATGCAGGCTTCCCACCAAGCGGGGAACCTGATGTGGGACTCAATCTCAGAACCCTGGGATCATGACCTGAGCCGAAGGCAGACGCTTAATGACTGAGCCACCCAGGTGCCCCGAGAAGTGCTTTTGACATGCCACACAGGAAGGGCTGGATCTGACCTTGGCATGGCTTAGCTAGTCATCAGATGTGTTGGATCCGTGAGTCCCCGACATGGTCCTCTTTTCCCAGATGGAGGGGGAATTTACCTCCTTTTCAGATGCGCCTTCCTAGATGAACTGCTCCTGCTCTCTGGCTCTAAGTCAGCCAGTTGAAGCGTGTTGGCATGGAGGCAAGAGGTGTGGAAATGACTTGATATGGAAGCCAAGTCTGAGTAAACAAGACCATTTCAGGAATGCAGCCTGGCCTTGAGGCTTGTCTTGGCAGGTCTTGAGATCCCTGCCTTCAGCCTGCAGAGACACCCCCCTCCCCACCCCACCACGAACACCTTATCTTTTGGTCTCATCTGCCAGCAGTTAGCATCATCCAGGCCCTTTAGCAGAGACCTGCCTCATGGGTGAGCTGGGCTCAAGTGGAAAACTAGGAACCAGAGGGAAAAGTTTCTTCCCTCAGTTTGGGCTAGAGCTCCAGCTTCTAGGCATCCACCTAAGGCTGGAGTCAGATGGGAACTGTAGGGAGGTCGTGTGGGAAGGCCACGTGGGAAGCCAGCTATAGTGTGTTGGTGTGAGGTCTCAAGTCTGAGGCAACTCACCAAGCAACAAAGTGTGGAGAGTTCACTAAGGCTGGATGGTGGCATGCCAAGGGTTCCCATGAGCTCTGACCACTGGGCCAAGGAAAGCAGTTGGCCCAGCCATGGGGAGACTGGCCTCCCCTGGCCAAGTCCAGGAGCTAGAACCTCATGGGGCTTGGTCACATTTTTATTGTGAAGTGCCTGGTGCTGACCACTGGGGCAACTGGGTGAACAGAGAGGGGCAGAAAGGGAGGGAAGGGCCTGGATAGGCCTCTACCTTCCTCAACTAGCAACATTCTCTCTCCCCACCTTTTTTAATCTTTTCATTTTCATTTTGAAATGATTTCAACTTACTAAAAACTGGTCACCCAGTTCCCCCAAATGTTAACACCCTATCTCTAACTACAGTAAAATGATAACAACCAGGAAATTCTCACTAATACTACTACCAGCTAATTTACAAACCTGATTTGAATTTTGCCAGTTGTCCTACTTCTCTTTCCTGAGCCAGGTTCCAATACAGGGTCCAGATCCCACCTCACACTTACTTGTGTCTCCTGTAATTGAAGACAGGTCCTTAGTATACCTTTGACTTGAATGATCTTGACACTTGAAAAGCACCTGCCAGTTTTTTGTTAGAATGCCCCTCATTTGGGTTCGTCTAATCTTTCAGGTTTTGCCTTTTGGTTAGAAATACCAACAAGTGATGCATGTCCCTCTCAGGAGGGCCACAATATGTCCCTTTACTGGTGCTGACTTTTGTCTTCATTTTTATTGAGGTATCATTAGTTTACTATACAACGAACATCTTCAAGGTATAAATTTGATGTTTGGATGTGTGTACATTTGTTGGTGACCTCGATCACTTGGCTACCTGGTTGTCTCTGAGGTTTTTCTCCACTGCAGTTACTATTTTAGGTTTGACATTAGTGTCTTGAGGAGAAACTTTGCAACTCTGTAAAGCAATAAAAAAGCCCGCTACCAGGTCTCATACTTCTGCCCGCTATTTTTTAGCATCCGTTATTTTTGTCAGCGGTAGGTTTGTGCTGGCTGCCAAAACGGACATTTCCTACTTCCATTATTCCTTCCACATTTATTCACTGGAATTCTGGCTAAGGAAGAGCTCTCTCTTCTCCGTTTACCCATACTCTCCCTTTTTCTGAGGTTACTGAAGTGTCATTAGCAAGTGGAAAAATGCCGGACAGTTTAGCGTATTTGTCCTTTTTTCCCATTGATTATGCTAATGCTTTTAATTGGAAACGTAATGACTGTGTGCCTACGGTCCCGCCCGCACTACGTAAAACCACGGAGGCGCCCTCTGCTCCCGGCGTTCCCCGCGCCGCCGGCTTCCCCGCGCTTCCCGCGTTTTCCCGTTCCCGGCATCCCCTGCGCTCCCCGTTCCCCGGCATTCCCCGCGCTTCCCGCGCTCTCCTGTTCCCGGCATCCCCTGCGCTCCCCGTTCCCGGCGCTCCTCGCGGCCGCCGCCCTCCGCGCAGCGGGCCCCGCCCCAGGGGCGACCGTTAGCGCGTCCGCGGCCAGAGCTCTTGGTCCCGCCCACGCGGCCGCGCTATTGGGCGGCGTACCGAGGCCGCGAGCGCCACGCTCTGCCAATTGGCGGCCTCTGCAGCCCGCTCCGCGATTCCCCCAATGCGGGGCGCCCGCGTGCTGGGATTGGCCACGAGTCTCCAAGGCCCGCCCTCCGCTCGCCCCGCGCGGCAGGCGGGTCCGCGGACCGGAGAGAGCTTGGGAGGCCTTTCTAGATGGCGGCAGCGGCGGCCGTGGCGGTCAGGCCGTGAGGGTCTCCCTCCCTTGGTCGAGCTGCGGGCAGCTCGGGCACGCCGCGGGTGCCGGAGGTAGGTGCGGGGCGCGAGGGGCGCCCCGCGGGCGGGGCGGGCGGGCGGGCGCTGCGGCCTGCGCGAGGGCGCGCCCTTCTCCTCCCTCCTTCCCGGGCCGAGGGCTGAGGGCCCAAACGGCGGGGTGGGGCGGAGCGGGAGGGCGCGAGGCGGGGCAGCCACGCGGAGTCCCGGCCTTTGTGAAGCATCATGGCCGCGGGCCTCGGAGGACGCGGGGCGGGGGTCCCGCCGTGGCGGGGTGGGGGTGGGGCGGGGGCGGGCCCCAGGCCCCGGTGGCGCCGACGCGGATCGCTTTCTGCCCGGGCAAAGCCCGAATGCAAAGAGGTCCCTCGCCCTGGGGGCCCGAAGTCGTAGCGTCGCTTTCAGGCGGGAAAGGTACGAACCCGGTTAGTGCTCGCCCAGGATCCTGCCGGGTTGTAACAGTTTGGGAAATTTGAGAAGTCGTCTAAGTCTTTTTCTTCGCCAAATGCTCGTGGACTGAGTGTCACTTAGATAGGCAGAATGTGGTTTTGTTGTAACAATGGTCGTGGTAGAAATAAATGGAAGGTGACAACCTGTTGATAGTGATACCTGTCAAGTATCATTCGATGGACTTGGGTTGCTCATGGTAGGAATTTGATTTGCTGTTGTGCATGCTTGCATGTACCTTGATACCTGATGCACGGCAGTCCAGGCTAGGGCTGGTGACTATGAGGCCAACCAGCAGGCGGAGACCCTCTTTCCTGGTCGAAGCCTGGACTCCCAGTCAGAGGCCTCACGCACAGTGGCTCAAATTCTGCCGCAGGCTATCACTCACCAAAGGGAGTGAATGGCTAGTCTGGAGTGCGCCTGTGAGTACAGGATGTGAGGCCTGTTAGAGGATGACAAAAGGAATGGATGAGGTCATACTGCTGCTGGGTTGGGCGGGAGGCTGCAGTGTGAGAGGCTTGACCGAAAGGCACCAGCCCCAGCACTGGACATGACAGCCAGCGCCTCAATGCCACCTCAGCAAGTGGACTTCTGTGAAGGGCGCTGTCCAAGCCTATTGGTTTTACCCCATGTGCCAGGGATCCAGGGGAGCCTGCTGCGAGTCTGCTGCTGGCTTATGGTTCACTTGGCAAGCAAGGTTTGCATCCATGTGTTCAATTAGCTGCAGCAGCAGTGAGGCTGATGGTAGAAGAGTCACTCTTTGAGCCCTTTATGGCCAGGCACTCTGTAGGGCACTTCCTGGGTATTGTTGTATAATCTGCCCATGACCCTGGTAGTAGAAAACATGAATCTCGCCGGATTGCCTGGTCTTGGTCCCTCTTAGTAGCTGCCCTTCCCCCTTTGGTGGTCTTAGCTAGCTTCCCGGCTTTAATGCCCTCTCTGTTTGACATCTCCCATCGCCTTCTCCAGCCCTGACCTCCCTTCTGAGCTGCTGTCTCTTCACGATCTCCATATGTTACTTTGATGCCAAGTAGCCATGGCCAAACCTAAATCCTTATTTTCACCCACTCCACAACACTTCCCATGCTGCCTTCACCACCTCAATGCTTGACAGCTCCATTCCAATCCATAGAGTCACCTGGATTTCTCTCTTAGGCCTCCATACAACACTCAGGACCATTTCTTACCACCTCCAACGTGCTATTCTGAACTGCCTGGTGAGCCTTTTAATTCTTCTCTTTGCTCTCACCCTTGCCCCTCCCCCCCCACTCACCCATGAAACTTTTTCTGGACACAGAAGGATTCTTTTGAACTGTAAGATAGTGTAAAGCCAAGGAAGTGAGGAGGGGAGCCAGTTTGCCTGGTGGTAAAGCAGCGTCACTGCTAGCTTTACTAGCAGTGTGACTTTGAGTAAGTGGCTTAACCTTTCTGTCCTTAACCTTTCTCTCAGTGCCTGAGAACTGGTGAGTGAAAACGCACCTCTTAGAGCAGGGCCTGCCTGAGGGTCGGTTGCCTCTGCATCCTTGGATCATGCAACCTCAGTGCTTAGACCCTCCTGTCCAGTGGCCCATCTCTTAAGAGCCACAGTCCTGGTCTCAGTCACCCTTAGCTTGCTGCTTTCACCTACTGCACTGCACTTCTACCCCAGGGCCTTTCCTCTTCTGTCATCTGGAAAATATCCTCTCTACCCACCTAGCTCACTCTCTTCTGCTTTCAGGTGGTCTCTGATTGTGTAGTCTTTGCTGTTTGCCCTTTCTGAAGTTGTGCCCCCACCCCCAACTCCTTGCTTTGTTTTTTCTTGATACTTCTCAGCTTTCCTTACTTGTTTCTTCATCTCTCTTTCTAAAAAGTGAGCTCTGTGAGGTAGGGATTTTGTCTGTCTTGTGTCCTTAGCATCAAGAATGGCACGTGGGCCATATAGAAAACGTTCAGCAAACTTGTTGAATGAGGAGAGCAAGCTTACAGGGGAAAGTAAGGAACTTGTCCAGGACTGCCCTACTGTAGAGTTCTGAACCTTGAGTTGCTGCCGCCTGGGGCTGGTCAGCCTTTCCTGATCTCCCAGGGAGAAGGAACACTCTTTTTTCTCTACAGCTCCCTGACCCCACCCCCTGCACCTCTTCTAGGCCTCCCTGCATTGTTGTCATTATCATCTTTGCTTTGTGCTTTGGTGATGGCAGCTGCTTGGTCTTTTAACATGGTAGCAGGTGTCCCCATCCTGTACCACCATTTGTTTTCAGTTCTCCCCTCCTTTTCCGCTCCCAGAATCACAGATTGGCTCTTGGTAGTGTCTCCACAGACCTACCAGAAGCCGAGAGGTTTGGTCCTGATTTTTATCTGTGTTCTGTAGCACTGTACATGCTGACCTGTCTGTCCTTCTCTGAAATGATATTTGTTGGTTGCCAGGAAACTGGACTTATTTTGCTCAGTTCTCCTCATGCCTGTTCAGCTGCAGCCTCCTTAGCGTTTACCTCAGTTCTGAGTCTTGTTATCTGTATGCTGTATTCTCTTGATCTTTAGCACCTTTGACAGATATACCTTTGGGGGAAGTATTGTGGTAAAATTCCCACTGAATTCAGAAATGTAAGGACATTTTAGAATCTCGGAAATAGAGTGACAGCTTAGTGGTCATTGCCCTTCCAACTGTGTCCAGGTGGTGGGGACCTTGTCTCTTGCTCATGGTGGTACATGTAGAAAGCCAGTGAATGAATATTGGTAGAATGAATTAATTAAATCTGAGTAAGTCTCTGGTGTTTATGTTGTGTCTCCTTGAAAGTACAACCACCACACACTACTCCTTCACAGTAAACTTCTTAAATGTGTGATATCTGCTGTCTTCTGTTCTGTCCATGTAGCCAGTCAAGCCTGCCCTATGTGGGCATGGGCATGCATGTGCATATCTGCATCCTTGTGCATGGCATGTTCATGTGTGTGTGTGTGTGTGTCTGCATGGTGTGGGAGTGTGTGTGCATACACATTTGCATCTGCACGTGCTTCTCCTGCTTTGATGCCCGGCCCCCCGCAGACCTCTGGGTTTTTGGATTGTTCCTCTGACCTGCCTTTTCACATCATCCCTTTTGTAGTCATTTCTCTGAAGGGAAGCTTCCCAGAGTTGCATCCTCAACCCTCTTCTTGGTCTATGTTGCCTCTCTGGACAGCCTCTCTCCTGTGGTTTTAGTGACTGTCACCTTGCTGATACGTTCTGGGCTTCTGTTTCGGGGCCAGTCACAGCTCCAGAGCTATGGCCTCAGCACCTAATGGACAGGTCTGCTTGGAGGCTCCATCCATTCTCCTCTGCAGGCTCCTGCCTGAATGCTGGAACACGTGTGTCCCTCCAGAGGAGAAGTCTCATTTGCCTTCAGTTCCCTCTTGTCTCTGCTCTCCACCTCTACCCGGTCAGCAGTGTGGTCAGTTCTGTGTCTTCACTGTTCTTGAGGGCTCCAGCCCCGTTAACAGAGCCTCTTTCATACCTTTGTGCTCTGGCCCGGAGGACTGACTGCCCTCTATGCCTTGGGCATAGGCACTGGGCCTGGCACAGCTGTCAGTCTCCCTTTTCAAATAGGGGCTGAATTGTGGCATGGGAATCACTTCACCCTTGGTGGCTCCTTATTGTCCCCCAGGAGGGAGCCAGGTTCCGGATGGCACCCAGGGCTTCCTATGCCTTGGCTCCAGCTGTCTCCTGAGGCTCCCCCCACCAAGCCTGGCCAGGTTCCCTTCCCCACAGCCACCACCCCCTCCTCTACTGGGAACAGAACCATGCCACCTCTGGCGACCTCAGCACGCTGCATCACTGTCTCGGTCCACGTGCCACCTTGTGGGCCCAGGAGAGCCCTGGGGTCCCTGGGTAGCAGAGCGCCTGGCCGTACCTCTGAGGCCCTAGTGCCGCAGAGTTGAGCTGAGGGTCTCGCACTCGCCCTCGCCCTCTGACTGACCCAGCCCTAGCAGGTGAGTGGATGCATATCGCTCTGATGGCCAGAGGGAGGCCACACACCTTATGTGTGTTCTGGAAAGGGCAGCCTTGCACCGCGAGCTTGCTTACCTATTAAACTGAGTTAGGGGAATGCTGCGGTGATGCTTAGCCTAGTTTAAAAAAAAAATTTTTTTTTGAGCCTTAACATTAATACTTTTTTTTTGCTTCTGAAGTAGGAATTACAGTGGACAATTAAGGTATTTAATTTTGCACTTAAATTATAATTTAGGTTCTGAAGGAAGAAGGTAGAGCAGTTGTTTTAAAGCCTAGAAGGTTCTCTAAGGCAATAGTATTTCACATTCTTTACTACACTGTTAATAGCACTTGACTCTCAGTACCAGGGAAGCAGAAGGTTTCTGTCATTTTGTGATGATGTTTTTAAATCTCTTTGCAGGTGGAAGAAGAAAGGTGCCACTTTGGCATGAAGACAGACTCGCTTAGTCGTCAGTCATTTAAGCTGAGTGCATTGTGATTTCCAATAATTGAGGCAGTGGTTCTAAAAGCTGTCTACATTAATGAAAAGAGCAATGTGGCCAGCTTGACTAAGCCGCCAGCGTGTGCAGCGCGGGCAGGACGGCACCCGGGTCTCAACGGACTTGTGCATGTTAGCTGTATAGATTTATGTAAGGTTTTTTAAAACTCCGGTCTTTTAAAATAGTCTTAACCACTTTTACTATGGAGACATATGAGAGTCCCTCTCCTCTCCCGCGTGAGCCCGCAGGAGAAGCGGTGATGGAGATCCGAGCTTGCCCCCTCCAAGCGCTGCCCCGTGAACAGTCTCCACCACCTCCCCTGCAAACGTCCAGTGATGCAGAGGTAATGGACGTTGGCTCTGGTGGTGATGGACAGGCCGAACCCCCTGCTGAGGACCCGCTCAACTTCTACGGAGCTTCTCTTCTCTCCAAAGGATCCTTCTCTAAGGCCCGCCTCCTCATAGACCCGAACTGTAGTGGCCACAACCCGCGCACCGCCCGGCACGCACCTGCGGTCCGGAAGTTCTCCCCTGACCTTAAGTTGCTTAAGGATGTAAAGATTAGCGTGAGCTTTACCGAGAGCTGCAGGAGTAAGGACAGGAAGGTGCTGTACACAGGAGTGGAGCGCGACACTCGTGCAGAGTGCGGTCTGGCCCTTAGCCCTGTCAGTGGAGACGTGCATGCTTGTCCCTTTGGCGGGAGTGTTGGGAACGGGGTAGGTATAGGGGGTGAGAGTGCTGATAAGAAGGATGAGGAGAATGAGCTGGATCAGGAAAAGAGAGTGGAGTACGCAGTGCTCGATGAGTTAGAAGATTTTACTGACAATTTGGAGCTAGATGAAGAAGGAGCAGGCGGGTTCACGGCTAAAGCAATCGTGCAGAGAGACAGAGTGGATGAAGAGGCCTTGAACTTCTCCTATGAGGTATGTTGGCGACCCCTCCTTTGGAGCACTCTTAGCAAAACCCAAAGAGGTGTTGGGAACTGCAGCATCTTTTGAAAGCTGATGTTGCAGAGGAAAAAAAAAACCCATATGAGGTGGAATAATGTTAATGTGGAAAAGAAAAAACTGTAAGAAATCCAAGTTTTTAAATTTTTCCTAAAGAAAGGTTTGGCTGAGCAGTCGACCTTGTACCCTTTATGCAGCCTGAGTCGGAAGGTGCTGCTGAGAAGCACTTCCTGGTGGCGTGTGCACCTGTGCCAAGTGTCAAGTGTGTTGGTTGCAGTTTTCAGTTTCTTCCTGTTTGTTTTTCAGATAATCACGCAACATAAAGGCATACCTAGGCCCCCACTTGAGAGTGCCTCATTTCTGTGTCTGTTCTCACTAATGCTGTTGAGCTTGCCTGCGGTACAGGAACACAGGCTCTGGGGGCCCTGGTGTCTGAACAGCATGTTTTGCAGGATGATTTTGACAACGATGTTGATGCTCTGCTGGAAGAGGGCCTTTGTGCTCCCAAAAAGAGAAGAATGGAGGAGAAGTATGGAGGAGACAGTGACCATCCATCTGACGGAGAGACGAGCGTGCAGCCGATGATGACCAAGATTAAAACTGTGCTAAAAAGTAAGTCAGCCAGGTAGGAAGTCGTGTGTTCGTGGGGCAGCAGAAGTGCTGGTTAGAGAGCCCTTGGGTGCCAGGCAGTGGTCTGAGCAGTGGGCACATGTTTGAGGAAGGACAGTCACGTGTGATGAGGGGAAACAGACAAGACACAGGGGTGCACCAGATACACGATGACCTGGGTGCAAATTGTGGTGTCTGCTGTGGTTGCACACCAGAGTAGCTGGTGTTGTGCAGGGGAATGGGGGGGCACTTCTGATGGGGTGAGGAGTTGGGGATGGTGTTGTTGCTGGGAGATGGGAAGATGGACAAGTGGAAATGTGAGGCCAAGGCCAGAGGTGGGTGCAGCACTGTGGCAGGTGATGGTTGCAGTCTGGGTTCTGGATTCTCTGCCAAGTGTCAGGAGAAGCCTCTAGAAGCAGGCTGGTGTTGTTACACAGTTTTTGTCTAAAAGCATAGCTCGTATGGCTGCAGCCTGGTGTGTGTGCTTTAGGTGGCCAGGGTGGGAGCTCCAGGGGTGGTGGCCAGGGGTAAAGGTGTTCCAAAGGTGCACTTGGATTTGGGGTTGGCGGGGAGCAGTCGGCCTGGAGTTGCCTGTGGGGCTGGGCATTGGGCAGTGCGACGAGACTGAACAGATGCATGGGGACTCGGGAGCACAGTTGAGACCTTAGGCTGAGGGCTGGGGTGCAGAAGGTGGCCGGGCGTGATGGGAGGGAAACGAGGTGTAGGTGGGGTGCAGTCTCCCACGGCAGAGTGGATGGGTTGGGTGTGCCAGGCGCCACAAAGCCCTGTCCATTATGAGCGGCCTGGTTTAGGTTCACAGTGCCTGGCCATGACTTGCAGGCTTGCCACTGGACCTGCCTGCACGGGGCACTACTGTGCCTTTCCCTCTGCAGCCTTCTGCTCCACCTCACCTGCCTGGCAGCCTGCCCCACAGTGCTGCCTTCCAGGAGCTGCAGCACGGGCCTCACGCTCACAGGCTGTGTGTAAGCTGCATGTGAACTCTTCAGACGGCTGGGCCAATTTTATGACTGCTACTTGTCACAAATGAGTAGGATCTGTATCCCTTGTTGTACTTTGCTGGAATTTTGTTTGCCTCTCTTTGTCCTGACTCAGCCCAAAGCTGGTGTAAGGCAGCTCCTTGGCTCTAGCCTGGGTAGGGGAGGGTGCCTGACAGTGTCTCTGCACCTCTAACCTGTAGTGCTCCCTCCTGGGGGCCATCCTGGCATCAGCTATCAAGCCAGTATTGTTATGTTCTGATGTCAGGCCAGGGCTTAACATTGTCAGCTGGGGACCTGGCACGGGGATGGCTACTCCTTTGTCCGTGAAAGTCCTTCATGCCATTTCATTATGTCTATGTTTTTAAATTTTCATTTGCTTTTTTCTTTTGTTCCTAAATTACTTGCTCCCAGTTCCTATAAGAGAATTAAGTTTCAGTTAAGTCTTTATACTTTTCCTAGTCACTGGGCCTGTCAGTGGCAGGTATCAAGTGTGTGATATGTCTTGAGCTTTTTTCTGTGACTGCCTGTAAAGCAAAGAAGGGATTGGGAGTAGTGTTTTAAAACTGATTTAGAAACATATGAATTGAGGACACCTGGTTGGCTCAGTGGGTTAAGCCTCTGCCTTCGGCTCAGGTCATGATCTTAGGGTCCTGAAATCGAGCCCTGCATCAGGCTCTCTGCTCAGCAGGGTGCCTGCTTTCCCACTCCCACCCCCACCCTGCGTGCCTCTCTGCCTACTTGTGATTTCTCTCTGTGTAAATAATAAAGTATTTTTAAAAAATTTAATTTAATTTAAAGAAAAAAGAAACGAATGAATTGGAAGTAGTGTTTCATTTGCCGGTGAGAGTGTGCAGCTCAGGTACAAGGAACACTTGCTGTTGAGTCATGGGAGCAGTGGTCAGCAGACATGCAATTGATTAGCAAAGCTTACTCAGCCCCTGGGGCGCCTCTGGCCACAGCCGAGGCGGGCAGTGAGGGATTGAGGACCGGGGTCCCCACAGCTTGCAGACAGCAGCTGAGGCCAAGACTCGTGTCTTGCAGAACCTTGTCCCAGGCTCCTTCATGTACCACGTGCTCTTCTAGGCCCAAGAGGACAGCAGTGAACAAGGCAGACAGCTTCCTGTTTGAGGAGGGACTTAGATTCTCTGGATTGGAGCCATATAAACAAGCACAGCATTGAGAACAGAGTTCATGCATGGGCGGTGCTGAGTGGCAGGCAGGGCTGGGGTAGGCTCTGTCTGGTGGGGGGTGGGGTACTCCCCTACTCCCCTAGTTCTTTAGATGTTCTTTTCAATCCTCAGTTGACTCTGCTATTTTTATCTGACATGTGTCATAATTTTGAAGCCATCTCTACAACTCCCAAGTGTTTTTGAAGTGATTGTGGGATGCTCTTGTCTTCCGTGCAGGTCGTGGCCGTCCTCCTACAGAACCATTGCCCGATGGGTGGATCATGACATTCCATAACTCTGGAATCCCAGTGTACCTACACAGAGAGTCTCGGGTGGTCACCTGGTCCAGGCCATACTTCCTGGGAACGGGAAGCATACGGGTAGGGGATGCATCAGTGATGAATTTAGTCTTGTAAGTTTGCAGACTGAACATGCACATGCTGTGTTTACATGGTAGCCAGGAAGAGGCAAGTGGAAGGCTTCAGATGTTCGGAACTCCGGGGTCATCCTTGTAATCTGTGTTGCAATTTCACTATCCACAGAAACATGATCCTCCTCTGAGCAGCATTCCATGTCTGCATTACAAGAAAATGAAGGACAATGAGGAAAGAGAGCAAAACAGTGAGCTCGCCCCCAGTGGGGAAGTGTCCCCTGTCAAGCCCCTGAGCCGATCTGCGGAGTTGGAGTTCCCCCTGGAAGAGCCCGACTCCATAGGAGCTGACTCGGGGGCCCTAGATGAGAAGGACCCACTGGGGGCTGAGGCTGCCCCTGGGGCCCTGGGGCAGGTGAAGGCCAAGGTTGAGGTGTGCAAAGACGAATCAGTTGGTAAGTTTCTGGGGTGAACTTTCCTTCCTTGCTGGCTGGGATCCATCTGCAGGGATATGACTGCACTCCACGCCTTCCTTAGGGTCACATTCCTCCTGCTGAAGGCCACCTGTTCTGCTTTTTTCTGTGAGGAAGGGACTTCTAGGGACCTCTCTCCACTCTTATGTGGTGGTGGGAAATGCCTGTCTCCCTGATCTTAGGACCTGCCTTGGTCTGCGGGCCCCGCGTGGCCGGTGCTGCCATGGACATGGCTGCTGTCAGCGCGGACTGGCCTTTTCTCTGGTCACTTTTGGGACCTTTCCTGAAATCCTGGTTTTTCAGTAGGACGTGCTCACATGGTGTCATTTTGACCTATCCTGATGCACTCACAATGAACTTCTTCAGTCCGCAGATCCAGTACTGAGAGGCAGCGCTGTTCTGTGGATGTTCCCTCTTCAGCCCCAGGATGGCTTTTGGCTCTGTGTTGTGTTGCTCTTCCCTCTTCTGTGTGTTTTTGCTTAGGCCTACCCACGCAAGTCTTAGCTGTCTCTCCAGTGGTGGCGGACATCTCCGCTCACCTGCTGAATCGCCTTCAAAGAGGACTTGGTGTTTTTAGGGTTTTTGGTTTTTGCTATTTAGATATTGTCTGAATATTGCTGCCCAGCCTTTCTTGTAACTCTTAGGTGTGAGGAGCCTAGAAAAGCTAGGGCAGAGTGGGGGTTGAGGGGAGACACCACTGCTGAGGGAGGGGTGGCCTTGGTGGAGAGGGCCAGTTGGAGCCTTAAGCATCTGGGGAAAGGCAGGGTGTGTCACTGGCCCCCGGCTTCTCCCGTGCACTGACTGCCTTCTCCCCCCAACCTACCTGCCTTTTGCCTCCCTCCCCATCCACGTCAGCTTCCCCTGTCTTCTGTCTGTATCGGGACTTTTCTCAGGACCCAGCTGGACAGGAACTTTTGCTTTAAGACCTCAACATAATGGTTTCTTTCTTCAAATCCATCTTTTACGCACACATGACACCTGAATGTGTTACTGCTTTTCGGAAAACACCTGCGTTTCGCTTCTAATTTTAGTTCCGTGGGAGAGGTGACCACTTGGACTTGTTTCCAGACTTCCTTCCTTGTGTTCATGTGTAAAGAAATACATGGTTTAGGGGTGTGATCAAGTGGGTGCAGATATATTGTTTCACAGCCCAGTGCTTTAACCATGTATTTCTTGGTCTTGCATGTGGAACTCCTCCCTCTGCCTCTGCACGTATTGTTCTTAGGGCTGAGTGTGAGGCCCAAGAATCCCTGCCTCAGGGCTTACACTTGAGTAAGAAACCAGTGAGGGTGATGTGAGCCTCTAGGATATCTTGGGAGAGAGAGGGGTAGTGGGTGCAACAGTAAAAGCAGGAGGCCCCTGGGAACGTCACTGAGTGGGGTGGGTGGTGAGCAGTAGGACCGGCCCAGTGTCTGTGTGGGGAGAGGCATGGCAGGTGCCAGGGCCGCAGCTGCCTGGGTGTGTTGCTGAGTGTGCGAGCAGCCAGGGTAGCTGGAGGGGAGAGCACAAGGTGCACAGTGCTTCAGCCACTGTGGTACTTGTTTTGATATGGGAAGAAAAGTCTTGAAGGCCAGCTGGTTTGTTGTTGTTGTTTTTAAAGCTTTTTTTCTTCTTGTCCTTGTTCCAAATAGACTAAAAGAGCATCTCAGAACTTTGCCCATATGGGACCTTCCTGAGTAATTTGAGTGACAGGACTTGATTCAGGGGTGCCTGGGTAGCTCAGTTGGTTACGAGTCTGCCTGAGGCTCAGGTGGTGATCGCAGGGTGCTGGGATCGAGCCCCATATTTCTCCCTCTCCTTCTCCCTCTCCTTCTGCCTCTCTCCCGCACTTGTGCTCTTCTCACTTGGCGCGCTCTCTCTATCTCTCTCTCTCTCTCTCTAATAGATAAGTAAAATCTTAAAAGAAAGAAAACAAAAAAGGACCTGATTCTTTGCTTTCCTTGCCCTTCAGAAGGAAAAGGGAAAGGGGAATGGGGAATGGCATGGCAGGACCTGTTTGATGGGCAGCCTAGCACCATCCTACTCACTGGACGGAGGAAACATGACTCTTAGGTTGGAAGTTAGCAGTTTTGTTCTGTGGTAAATCCACACAGATCTTGAGGAGTTTCGGAACTACCTGGAAAAGCGTTTTGACTTTGAGCAAGTCACTGTGAAGAAATTCAGGACTTGGGCCGAGCGGCGGCAGTTTAACCGAGAAATGAAACGGAAACAGGCTGAGTCTGAGAGGCCCATCCTGCCAGCCAATCAGAAGCTCATCACCCTGTCTGTGCAGGATGCACCCACAAAGAAAGGTGAGTTGGGGTGTATAAATTTTCTCTTCGACAGATGGGTGATCCTGGTTGTTTTTCACTTGATGGTCTTAGAACGTATGCTGTGTGTGTTGAGTTGTATTTACTTCTAAGCTTATGTCGATCCTATGAATGCAGAGGTGCACTGCGTTCATGTTGGTGAGCCCCTAATTCAGTGAGGCGCTAACGTGGATGGTGCCTGGCCCTGAGAGCTAGCTTGCTACAGGTCCTCACGCTGTTGCTGAGATAGGCCTTCTTGTCACAGAGTTTGTCATTAACCCCAACGGGAAGTCCGAGGTCTGCATCCTGCACGAGTACATGCAGCGTGTCCTCAAGGTCCGCCCCGTTTATAATTTCTTTGAATGTGGTAAGTTTGACCTCCCTCACCTCAGCCTTGAAGAATCCTACACCTCACTGGGGCCATGGCTGGGGAGGCGGGAACTGACCGTTAACCCCACTCTGCTGGGAGAGAAGTGAAAGGGCATGGCAGGGAGAAGGGTGCTGCAGAGGGGCGGGTTGGTGTCCCAGCCGTGTACCCCTTCTGCGGGCAGATGCCCCTGCCTCCCCCTTTTTTCATTCCCACTACCCCCCCCCACTCCCACCTTCCTCTCATCCCTTGCTCTGAGGAAGGCCCTCTCACTGTGTCTCCACTTGCCCCCAGGTGGGTGAAGGGGCCTCAGGCCTGCACTTCCCACCAGCTGTCTCCTGTTGTCATCTGCATCACACCTTTGTGAAAACCAGTTTATCTTCCCCGTGGAACCCTGAACCCAGGCGTCACTCATCGTTTCATGTCGTTGCTTGGCTTCCTGCGTCTGTACATCTCTGTTCTTCACAGTCCTCTGTCCATCTTTCACAGACATTGTTCCCTGTGCCTGTTGGCCTTGCCTCTGGCCTCCTGTTCCCCTCCAGCTTATTGGTCCTCTGTTTCCCAGTTTTCCTGGCATGCTGTCTGCCTGCTGCCCAGTCCTTGGCCCTGTCTCCGTGTCTCAGGGAGTGCCCATGTCTCCCTTCCAGCAGTAGCCCCAACCCTGCCTTATCTGTTGGTGCTAGCAGATTGTATGTGTGCACGTATGCACGCTTTAATGTCTCAGCAAGCATTTTTAAAACCATGATTTTAATTTTAAGAGAACCCAAGTGAACCTTTTGGTGCCTCGGTGACCATTGATGGTGTGACCTATGGATCTGGAACTGCAAGCAGCAAAAAACTTGCGAAGAACAAAGCTGGTAATGTGGCTACTTAGATGTCAGAGACCTATGCTGCCCACAGTGTCCACCCCTCCCCTTGGCTAGGGAGGGCTGGGGGTGGGGCAAAGCCATTTGGTTTTTTAAAAAGTATGTGCTCAAAGACTCAAATAGGAAGTAAAATGTGAGAAATAAAACTAGAGAACTCAAACCTTCTCTGCTCTGTGGCAGCTGGGCTAGAATCTCCTACCCTTGTCCCCACTGCTCACAGAGCCAACTGGGTCATGGTGAACACACATTCTATGGGTTTGTATGTAAATCGAGCAAAATGTGGGCATGCTAGATGACAAAGAGGGATTTTCCTGAGTGGTTTTGACATGTGTGAGGATGATTATCTGAGTCCTCCAATCTCTAGATTTGGGACTGAAGTTAACTGGTCAGATCCTGGGAAGGCCTGTGTTTTCCTTTTCCAGTTAAGGGAAGCCATTCTGCTTCACCGTCAGGGTTACGTGGCCTCTTCTTGGACATGGAGCACATTTTAGGGTGGGTGTTGGGGGTGTGCACCAGGCCTGGTGCCCACAGTTCAATTCTTAAGGTTTCTGCCTCTGCTGTAGTGTCTTCCAAAGCAGGTCTGCCCTGTACCCACGTGAAGTATGTCGGCTTCATCATGTTTTTACCAGATCTCGGGTGGCGAAAATGCTTTTGTTTGTGGGACTCAGAGTTTACCTTGGAGTTGCTTTCTTTTGTGGTGTATGCTGAGGATGGTTGGGAGGATATGTCACTTTTTGTCCTTCCTTCTCTGAGGCTGTACTGGGCTCATACACTACACTCCTCTGGGAAGGCCTCCTGTCCATTTTAGAGAGATTGTGCCAAAAGGGTTTTTCAGCTCAACAAATTAGTGCTGCCAAGGTCATGGGGCAGAGGGCTCACAGAGTAGGGCGCACGGTAGGAGTGGAAGCATCCTGGCAGCAGGGCTGTGCTCTCCCCATCTGTGAGGATCCACTTCCTCTGCTCAGACCTCAGCTGCTCTCTAGATAACTCACTCGGATGTCTTGCCAGTACCTCCGACTCTGTAGGGACAGGTTGTTACCCCTCCCCATTCCCCAGCGCCCCCACTTCCTCACCCCAGTGTGAGTGGCAGCCTGCTCATTTAGAAATCTCTGCTCGGCACTGAGCCATCCCTCTGCTCCGTCCTGCAGACGCTTTCTCAAGAGCATCTGTCCGGTCTCACTGCTTTTCCCTCCCACACTCACAGCAGCCTGCTCAGTCCTCTGGCCTTACTACTTGGCCTGGGTCCTGCTGAGCCATTTGCCTGCACGCCACCACTGTGATTTCTCTGAAACATCTCTCCGAAACATATCTCCGGCCTTGCCTGCTACAAGCGCCTCAGGGCAAGAGAACATACAGCTTTTGTGGCTTCTGAGGCTGCCCACAGCCTCACACTTGCCCCACTGCGTCCTTTGCTCAGGATGTGCTCCTCCAGCCTCTCCTCTGCCTGCCTCTGAAATGCTGCTGTTGCCCAGGGCCCTCGCTTCCCTCTGAGCCCTGGGAACCTTGGCCCTGCACAGGAGCTGGCGTGTGGCTTGCTCTGGAGTCCGGAAGCTGGGCCCAAGCCCTCACCCTTGGGGTTTTTCTTTTCATAGCCCGGGCTACGCTGGAGATCCTTATCCCTGACTTTGTCAAACAGACCTCTGAGGAGAAGCCCAAAGATAGCGAAGAGCTTGAGGTGAGTTTCCTAGTCCTGCTATGTCTAGAGCTGTGGCTCCAGTGCAGCGCCTGCGTCACCGCCCACCTCCCCCCAGGCTAGTGCGAGCTGTGGATTTAGTCATCCCAGCTCCAGATGGTTTTCATTTGTTAATCTTTCATAAAAGGGGAAACTTGTTTGTCTTTGTGCAAGCAAGTTGGGGGGAATGTCATTTATTTTCTGAGATTTTTGTCCTCCGAGTCTTGCAATGGGGGGTAAAGAATGCGCACTGTCAGCTCTCCCGAGTGTAGATCCATGGTGGGAATCTGTCTTTGAGACAGAGTCTGTAAGTTATGTTGTTCTCTGTATTAAGAACTGTTTAAAACTACTTGTAAACCTTTTTGGGTAAATACGATTCTGTAGTTATGTGTAGTGAGGGCTTTTCAAACTCTGAAGAAGGCATTCTTTTATAACGGCTTTATTGATCTATATGTACCATAAATTTTACTCCCTTAAACTATACTGTTGAGTGGATTTTTGTATATTCAGAGTTGTGCAGTCATCGCAGTGATCGAATCTTAGAATATTTTCATCTCTCTAAGAGGAAATCCTATACTTGTTAGCAATCACTCCTGATTTCTTCCTGTCCCCCAGACCCTCAACCCTTGGCAACCACTAATCCCCTTTCTGTTTTTTTTTTTTTTAAAGATTTTTATTTATTTATTTGAGAGAGAGACAGTGAGAGAGAGCATGAGCGAGGAGAAGGTCAGAGGGAGAAGCAGACTCCCCATGGAGCTGGGAGCCCGATATGGGACTTGATCCCGGGACCCCGGGATCATGACCTGAGCCGAAGGCAGTCGTCCAACCAACTGAGCCACCCAGGCGTCCCCCCCTTTCTGTTTTGATGGATTTGCCAGCTCTGGACACTTCATATCAGTGGAATCATATGACATGTGGTTCATTATTGACTGGCTTCTTTTTAAGCCACCAGGTGTTAGCTCTGGGTTTTAACTGGTTGAAAAATTTTCCTTCTGTTTTGCTGAGAGTTTTTTTTTTCAGGAATGGTTGTTGGATTTTGTCAAATGTTTCTCCTGCTTCTATTGAGATGATTGTGTGGTTTTTGTCGTTTTTACTCGTATGGTGGTATATTGCATAGGTTTTTGAATAGTAAAGCAACCTTGAATTTCTGGGACAAATCCCACTTGGTTGTGGTATATGTAAGTTTTATGTATGCTGGATTTAGAGTGCTGGTATTTTGTTAAGGACTTTAGCTGTATTTATGAGGGATACTGGTCTGTAGTTTTCTTATGGTGTTGGTGTTGGGGAAATACTGTTTTTACAGAATGAGGTGGAAAGTATTCCTCTCTTCTCTGGTGTGGAATAGTTTATGAAAGGTTGGTATTAATTTTTAAGCATTTGGTAGAATTCACCAGTGAAACCATCTGAGTCTAGACTTGACTTTGAGATTATTTAATTACTGATTCAGTCTTTTCATGTGTGCTTCTTTTTCTTTTTCTTTTTTTTTTTTTTAAAGGTCTTATTTATTTGGCAGAGAGAGAGCACAAACAAGGGGAGCGGCAGGCAGAGAGAGAGGGGGAAGCAGGCTCCATGTTGAGAAAGGAGCCGGATGCAGGGCTCGATCTCAGGACGGTGAGAGCATGACCTGAGCCGAGGGGAAATGCTTAACTGACTGAGCCACCCAGGCACCCCTCATGTACTTCTCTTCAGATATCCTGCTCCTTTTTGAGCTGGTTTGGGAACTTTGTGTCTTCATAGGAATTTTTCCGTTTGACCTAGGCTGTCTCCTTTATTGGCATACATTCTTTCATAGTATTCCCTCGTGACTTGCTATATTTTGTTAAGTTTGTGCTGCTCCTTTGTTCATTCCTGATTTTCCTAGCTTCAGTCTCCTTTTTTCTCTTGGTCAGCCTAAAGCTTGTCACTGTTGTTGATCTTTCAAAGATCCAATTTCTGATTTTGTTTGCTTGTTTTCCTATTGGCTTTTTTGTTTTCTGTTTCATTTATTTCTGCTGTAGCCTTTATATCCTTTCTTTGGCCAGCCTTAGGTTTAGTTCCTCTTTTCTAGTGTCTTCAGGTTAGGGTATTTATTTGAGGTGTTCTTTTTAAATACTGGAATTTACGGCCATAAATTTTCTTCTGTGTACTACTTTAACTGCAGCACATAAGCTTTACTGTGTTGTGTTTCTGTTTTCGTTCATTTCCGAGTATTTTGCTAATTTCTCTTGTAATTTCTTCCTTGAACAATTGGTCATTTTACTTTTCATATATTTGTGAATTTCCCCAAATTTCCTTTAGTTGTTGGTCTTTATTTAATTCCTGTGTGGTTTGAAAACATAGTTTGTATGGTTTCTTTTTTTTTTTTTTTTAAATATTTTATTTATTTATTTGACAGAGATCACAAGTAGGCAGAGAGGCAGGCAGAGAGAGAGGCGGAAGCAGGCCCCCTGCTGAGCAGAGAGCCCGATGCGGGGCTCGATCCCAGGACCCTGGGATCATGACCTGAGCCAAAGGCAGAGGCTTTAACCCACTGAGCCACCCAGGCGCCCCTGGTTTCAACCAGTCCTTTTAAGTTCACTGAGGCTTGTCTTAGGACCTACCATACCGTCTGCCCTGGAGAGTGTTACGTGTGTGCAGGAGGCGAGTGTGCTTCCTGCTGTTACTGGGTGAAGCGGGTGTTGGTTAGGTCCAGTTGGCAAATGGTGTTTATTCTATATCTTTGTTGGTCTTCTGCCTTGTTCTTCTATCCGTTTTTGTTTTTTGTTTTTTTTTTTCCCTTAAGAGAGAGTGAGAGCCCCTGTGTACACATGTGCATGGGTCGGGGGGGGGCAGAAGGAGACGGAGAGAGAGAATCCTAAGCAAGCTCCATGCCCAGCATGAAGTTGGAGTCCAGCTCAGGACTCTATCTCACGACCGTGAGGTCTCAACCTGAGCCAAAATCAAGAGTCGGATGCCCAACTGACTGAGCCACTCAGGTGCCCTGTCTTCCTTCTGTCTGTTGTTGAGAATGGGTATTGGAGTCTCCAGCTGTTACTCTTGAATTACGTGTCCCTTCAGTTCTCTCCATTTTTGATTAATGTATTTGGGGGCTGTTGTTAGATACATACATGTTTGTGGTATTGTGATATAATAAGAAATGTATGTTTGGCCTTTGTTCTTGATTCCTGGTGCAGAGCTTCTACAATATATTGTTTGTTTTTTGTTCCAAGTTCTTTAAAAAGCAGCAGGTTGATAAAGGAGAATGGAATGTCTTTTCTTATTTTCTTATTTTTAATATCCATTTATCCCATCCCTCCCCTTCCCTTTCCTTCCTTCCTTCCTTCCTTCCTTCTTTCCTTCCTTCCGTTACTTTTATTTATTTAAGTCATCTCTATCCCCAACCTGGGGCTCAAACTCAAGATCCCAATATCAAGAGTTGCATGTTCCACCGACTGAGCCAGCCAGATTCCCTTAACACATCCCTTTCAACCACACCTGAGTTCACGTTAATCAAGTAACTTTGGACCATCCCTTTGAATGGGAGCTGGTTGCCTGTGGAATCTTCCAGGAGGGTTAGAACTTTCAGTCTCCGCCCTTGCCCGGCATGTGTGTAGTGTGTGTTTAGGAGGCAGTGGATGTTGAGCTGATCAGTAATGACCAATGATGTAATCAGTTGTGCCTGTGTAGTAAAGCCTTCCTTAAAAAAAAAAAAAACAACACACACACACACACAAAACTGAGTGGTTCAGAGAGCTTCTGGGTTGGTGAACACATTGAGGTGCTAAAAAGATGGCATGCGCAGAGAAGGTGTGGATGCTCTGTACCCCTTCCTTTATACTTTGCTGTATTTATCTTTTCCATCTGGGTGTTCCTGAGCCCTATCCTTCTGTAATAAACCAGTTCTCTCTGAGCTGTCTGGGAAATTATTGAAGCTGAGGAAGGGTTGGGAACTGGCATTGTGCAGTTGCTCAGTCAGAAGCACAGGTGACAACGTGGACTTGAAGTTTATATCCTGTGGTGGCAACAGTCTTGTGGGTCTGAGCCCTTAAGCTGTGGAGTCTGCTGCGGCTCCTGGCAGTTAGCGGTAGAGCTGCCTGGTGTGGAAGCCCCACTCACTTGGTGACACAAGTGTTGAAACTAGAAGTCAGTTCTGTTTAATGTTTATAATAGTTACGTCATCTTGATGGATGGGCCCTTTGCCGTTTTTAAGTATCCTTTATTTCTAGTAACAGTTTTTATCTTAGAGTCCGTTTTATCTGATAGTCACTCCTACTCCCTAAATTACTCTTTACGTGATATGTGTTTTCCCTCTTTATACCTTTTAAGCCTCTTTGTAACTTTGAATCTAAACACGTCTTATAGACAGCATATAATTGGGTTTTGTGTTTATCCTTCTATCAGTCTCTGCCTTTTGATCAGAGGACCTACGAGAGCAATTTTTTTTGGAAGATTCATTTTATTTAATTTTATTTCTTTATTTTTTATTTCTTTATTTTTTTAAAAGATTTTATTTATTTGACAGACAGAGATCACAAGTAGACAGAGAGGCAGGCAGACAGAGAGGAAGGGAAACAGGCACCCCACTGAGCAGAGAGCCCCGCGCGGGGCTTGATCCCAGGACCCTGGGATCATGACCTGAGCCGAAGGCAGAGGCTTTAACCCACTGAGCCACCCAGGCACCCCTCATTTTATTTTATTTTTAAAGAATTAATTTATTTGAGAGAGAGTGTGAATGAGAGTGGGAGAAGCGTCAGAGGGAGAGAAAATCCCCATGCAGACTTCTCACTGAGTGTGGAACTACCCTGCTCCATCCATCCCACCACCCATGAGACTATGACCTGCCCCAAAATGAAGAGGTGGACGCTTAACTGATGGAGCCATCCAGGCGCCCCAAAAGATTTTTTTTTTTTTTTTAAAGTAATCTCTGCACCTAGCGTGGGGCTTGAACTCAAAATCCTGAGATCAAGAGTCCTATGCTCCACTGACTGAGCCAGCCAGGCACCACTTTTAATTTCAGTTTATTGACTTTTGTTTTTGTTTTTTTC